TTGACAGCTGCAAGCAGCGAAACATGGGAATGGAGTGGATGACTGAGATGGTCCAGGTCCAGGTCCAGCTGAGATGTCTCGGAAAGTGCCGCAATTCGCCTTTCGTTGACCAAGCTCACTGGCGCTGTCGTTGAGGAGCCGTGAGATATTTTAAAACTTGCTGCATCGCGATGGAATTTTTGCTTTGAATGTGCGAGAGAAGATGCAATGCGGTGCAATGCAGCGCAGTGCATGACATGACATGGCATTGCAGCAGCTGAATCTAAGTTACAGCACACTCCATATTGTTGTCCACAATCGTCCCGAGCTAGGAGGGCGAATGAGGCAAGTGTGGCCACATGAGATGCATCTCAGGCAAGTAAGTACCTTTGCCCATGGGCCAGTTCCTAGGGGCGGAAAGACGCGGGAAGTGACTGGCCGGGGAAATGGAAGGAAGGACCTTAGATGGTAAGTACAGATACGGGTACGGATGCCTTCTCAATCGGTATTACTACTTTAACCCAGCTCCACAGGTACTGATACATACGACTGAGCCGACGGGACTGCAGCTGAAGTTTCCTTCGTACCGTGAAAAAGAAAAGAGACAAGTGCACAAATCCCAAGAAAACGTGTAATGGAGGAAAAGACCGACCGGCAGGGGCACAATGCTACAGCGCACCTTCGATCGGTCTAGGCCGCTAAAAACCATTGGATCGGATCATTGCAGGTTAAATTCACGATACCGCAACGCCGCAATGAGGCACATCCCAGTTTAAACCGACATCTGACTGGCTGGGGGCGGCGTGGGGAGGGAGAGAAAGGGAGTGTGTATGAGAAGATGGGCAATGGCAACCTAAGCCAGCTTGTGCCGTATGCCGTAGCACAGTGGGAAGAAGAGGAGGGAACTTGTTGGAGAAGTGAGAGAAAAGGATGTTGTTGGAGAAAGTAAACTGTAAAGAGCTATGTGAGTGAAGTCACTGAAGTGGTGTGAGCGTGCAGCGTGAGATGTGAGGCAAGGCGCAATGATCAAGAGCCGGCACTTTCCCTACCATCCGGATCTTACCTGAGAATTTGAAAGCACGCGCTACATATTGCAGGTCCCTGTCCAGCCTCGGTCTTCCTTGCTCAAGCTCGGCCCCTAAAGCAGGTGCAATGCGGAGATGAAGCCACCGTGCAAGGTTGGACGCTGTAATTTTGAATTCTGCACTGAGGGACTTGCGGATATTGAAGCCAACTTTGGCATATGTTGGCAGCTTCATGACTTGGGGGCACTGGAATCATGGAATAGGGAAATATGGTTATTGCATGGTAGACAACTGATTATTGAGGTAAGGCAGTCACGGCAGTGTACCTTGTTCTGGAGTCTGCTTGATGCGAAATGGGGTTCCGCCACCCACCGCTCTTTTATTTTTGCTTCTCATTTTGTGGGATTCCACTCCTGTATCAAGATATAATAGTACCTAGGTAGTGTAGACAACAGTATTGAATGATTCAGGAAGGTCCAAGGGGAAACCGAGGTTCATAAGACCATGTATGCATAGACACAGTTCCTTGGCTATTAGACTGTCCAATGATCGACTCGTTGCAAACCTTGCCTGATATATATTTGGCCATAGGAACGAAGTCTGGTTGGACGAATGCATCAAGTCTCCAGTGTATCGTCGGATCTTGCGTTGCCGCGCATTCCTCGAATCCATGAACATGACTGCATATCGAGTTATCACTGACTCTTGAGTCTCAACCCCAACTCCTTTTGACCCTCCTCGTATGCTTGAAGTAGAGTGTCGAATGCAGACGGAAAGGTGTTCAGGTCCAGGATATGAGCAGGGCCTTGCTCCCAAGGCACTCCATTCGGATAGACCACGGGGCCATGTCATGTTTCTCTCCGATTACCAAATTGGCAGAATTGAGGCAGGCACGGCAGGAAAGACAAGGGGAAAGGGGGGGGGTTGGACGTGCCGTAGGCCGCCTGCTTTCTGCTGGTTAAGTATCCACACGAAGCAAGTGAGTACGGAGTAAGGTAGGTGGTACCTACGGAGTATTCCATGATCCATACGGAGTACTGCAAAGTAAGGTACTCCATACCTAAGCAGGTTGAGTGGTGACAAAAGGCCCCCGACGCCGACGGCAACATGGGACCGAATCGTGGGAACTTGGAAGGTGGACCCGGCCCGTCCAGTTTTTGACTCCTGCTGTTTCGAGACTTGATCATCCAAGAGGGCCTGCTTGGGGCCTGATATTCCTGCCCTCTTTTGCAGCACATTAATTACATAATACTCTTTTAAACTCACCATCCCCACTCGGGCTACTCTCCACTTTCTTTTTTTCCCGGTCCGCGGATGCCTTGTTCGTCCGCCATCTCTTTTGCGTCAGGTCTTTCAAGTTCCATGCCATCATGCCTGTGCTGCGATACAACACGACGAACACAATTCCCACGTGACTCCCACGCTTTTTTGTTTTTCTCACTTCTCGATATGGCTGGTCAGGCCACGCGATATGCAAAGCCTGGTCTGAACCAACCTGGATCAAAGTAAACGGTGCCCAGGTTATCGTTGTCGCATCGCAATTCAAGCCCCCTGTAACCTCGAGCTGCCTATCTGGACACAGCTGGAATCTACATAGGGAAATGGGTACGATGTACTGCACAATGCAATGCCTACGCCCGCTGACCATGATCAATTCGATGGATCTAGCCATCAGTACAAAGCAATCCGGACACTTCTCCATCTCCTGAGTCCCCAGCTGCTCATCTTCCAAATATCCTCCTTACCGCGCACGACAGCGTTGGCTGCATATCGACTAATGCAGGCTCGACCTCCCGCCTTGAACGAGCCCTGCCAGATCAACCTTTGGCACGCCCACTTTGCTGCCTTTTTAGTTGCGCAAAGTACGTATTACGGAGCAAGAAACCACCCTCGCCTTCTGCCGCTCATCCTGGCATGGGACGATGTTGCTCTGCTTGCATGTTGGGATTGTTGATCAGTGCCCGCTTTCGATCCACAGCCGACGCCTCCATTGGCCTCAACCACTGGCATGGCCCTCCCTGCCCCGACTGTCCTGGGACGGAAGCCAGTCTCGATCGTCGACTCCTACGAGGTTTCCCTATATCCGGACTGCGCACACAGACAGTACTGCTCTCCCGCTTTTGGTCGAGATGCGCCAACGCCAGACGCCTCCGAGCAGGTGGTCATTGGTGTATTCACTGCAAGCAATTGATATTCTCGATCTTGTACACCGGCCGTCGTCCCTGGGATCTCCTCTGTTCATTCGATATAGTCGTCATATCACGTATGGATGTGCAATACCTACCCAAGGATTCTGGCATAGACTCAAGGAGGTTAGACAGTTCAATGAGCTTCTCGGGACCACAGGGGGGGACGGCCCAGGCACTGGGATTACATGAACCAACAGGGCGGAGAAACTTTCAATCAGGTACCCTTTTGCCAGGGCCAGTCCTCTCCCCTGGCATCTTGCTAGCTTTGTGGTGCTTCAGCTGCGACGTTTTCCTTTTCTCAACCGTCAGACGGCTCAGTACTGAATCGAGTCGCTCCCTCAGCTGCATCTTATTGTCAACGCCCGCCCCCTTCAATCCCGCCGACTCCCGTTCTCCAAATCTAGCTTCTCCACTCGAGTGCGACATGTCACTGAGCACAGGCACCGGCAGCTACACTACAGTAACAGACGACGGCGGCAGCGGCACCGACCTGAACTCATTTCTCATCCCATCATCAGGACCGCCGCCTTTTTAAGCATGGGCGCTAGCGGCATCAGGTTCCCAAAGCCAAGAAAGCTAGATTATGCTGCCGCTGCTGCTCTCACATCTCTTTCTGCCCTTGCGCCCTCCGCCACAACACCCCGGCCGCACCTCCCGACCCCATGTCTGTGCTCCCGCTCCAACGACACCCCCTTCACCATTTCAATGACACCGAAACCTGGGACCCAAGACCTGGAAGTGGGTGTGGAGTGTGGGTGTGGCTAGGGTTGATGAGGGGTGCTGGTCTCTCCGTCTTGCTCCTCTTCCTGATGCCTCCACCAAGCCCATGGCTCGACGCCCCGACAGCCTGGGAACACGCAAAGCATCCATGAGTGCCTGGCCAGTCGGTCCCCTTCTTCTGGCATTCCACCGTGCCTCTGGCCGTTCGTCCCGCTGCAAATTGGGCGAGATCCACGGGTCCTTGACTCCTTTCTGCGAATTCTGCTAGCGACGATAGCTCGGACTCGGCGGGGAACATCTTGCTGCGGATACTGCTCATATGGTTTGAAATTCGAATACGATCATTCCGAGTAGTACACCCATTGTGACGGGTAGCTGTCAACAGATCCACGGGAGCTTCCCATCATCAATCTCCGCCGTCTTAGACAGGACCAGGCCCACATTGTCTAAGAGTGACCTTTTAACACGAGCTTATAGGCCTAGAGCTGTGACTGGACGCCAGGGCTTGGACAAGTTCCGCGCTAGAGTGGCACAGAAGAACGCGCCCACGGTTTTCTTAAACTGCCAGACGAACGCTGGCGCCGCTCAACGCATTTGCTCTACACGGCAAATTTGCGCGGACAGGCTTTTAAGGAACGCGGTTTCAAAGGATGGGCCTGGCGGCGGCGTATGTGCAACTTGGGTCGTACTAAGCAACTAGTGAGGACGCCGCCGTTCACTCATCCATGTCGATTCCAGGGCGAGTATGCCCAGCTGTCACGGCTGTTCTCTCGCGGGATCCGAGATCAGAACATCAGATCAACAACAGGAACACCCACATCATTTTCAGCTAGCCTGCTGTTGATCAAACTTCAACAACCAGATGTTGACAGGGCTTCAACTATCTGCTTTTCCCGCCCAACCCCAGCAAGCTCATTCCCAGCTTTGTCCCCACCACCGACCTGGGCGCTTGCTTTGGCCCGTTACATCACCTTAGACACAAGACCCTTGTCTCATCATTCTGCCAGGGCTTATCTGTGCCTCTTCTTCCGTCGGGTTCTGACGTCCAGTCCAGTTCCTGATCCAGAGTCCTTTGTACTTTGTACGCTTGTGAGGAGGAAACCCATCTCTTCAGGCTGAGGGGTGAGTCGAACCTGTCTGCCGGTACCGCTGGGTCGGACGATCTTTACTCTTCTCCCCATGCTAAGACTTTGGGCAGACGGCCAGACCAATTCGAGCACAGCCCGGACATTCACAGCCGTTTGGGCTTAGGACGACCAGCCGTTGCCACGTTCATCAGTAGACACGGGTGGTGACGGGACTCCATATCACGCCTTGGATCGGCCTCTTGCCAGCGTCTGCCACGCCTCAGCCGCCCCAGCACTCACGCGCCATCCCGGAACCTTAATCAATCTAGGGCCGTCTTTCCAAACCGCTTCTCCCGAGGCTAGGGAACCACCAGCAAGACACAGAGCTCGCAAGGGTGGCTGCGCCAAAAACCCCTTCACCCCGCGCCAGCTTCTTTCATCACTTTTCAGGACAACCGTTCTCTATCCCAGTCCATTCCTGAGGATACTATCACTGTTGTGGACTGTCCAACCGTCTAGACATTTCACATTTTCGGCAAGTCACGTACTCTAGGCCACCTCAGAGCTGCCCATCTGGTCGACTCTCGCTCCCTACTTGGCGCCACCCACCCGTACACCATCACACACCAGCGGGCTTTTTGACTTTGGAATCTACATTCCACGCCTCTTCTGGCTGCAACGCAGCTACAATACCCACATGTTTGGCCAGTTTCGTCTCACTTCTGGCCTTACCGCTGGCTTCGAGTCTTCAGATCTGACGTATTCATCTGCTTGAATCTCTTCGGCAACCCCTTCACTCGATCTAATCCCCTTGTCGGGCCCAAGTGAGTGGAACGAGGCACATCGATACTCACCAAGCCGTTGCCGTGTATTTTGTTACACAATACGGCGTATTCTTCATACTCGTCGATATTCAGGACCAATCTTCATGCCAGTTGGCGCTTCACCAGGCCCTTGAGTTCCAACTAGGCTTAGGCCAACCACAACGGCCCTCCACATTCTCAACAGCTTCCAGGTGCTTTTGAGCTCTGCCGGGATCGATTCGGACACGGAGGCCAGACAACACCACCTCGCCATCTCTGTCTAGGTCTTGACTTCCCTTCCTAGCGTAGTAGCTTCCAGGAGCCCCCGCCATAACGCCAATCCCACCAGCAGATCAATAGAGCGCGAGCTGCGATACCCGCTCTCCAGTCAACCCAGTTACATTGTGGCCGTCCCAGTGCCCCACTACCGTCATCACCACCCGCAGTAAAAGCTATCGAAAGAACTGGTGTGGCTCTGGGTGACCGAGACCCTCTTCTGAGTGGCACAGTTCGCCCTTTCACTACTTCCCCCAAAACAAGGAGCGAATAATCTCCCTCCCAAGTCCGCTCACAACTACAACCACAGACCCCTCTCGACATATGCCGGGTCCGCCATTTCTATTCCCCTAGCCATCCTATGAAATACGTAGGTTGCCACGGACTCAAGCTACAGCTTTGAAGGATCAGTATCCATGCCCCGGATCAGATTCCACCAGCTCGCCATTTCAAGCTCTCGATCTGATCTACCTAGCCGGGCCACCGCGTCCCTCTATCCGGACGGCTCCTCCTTCCACAACTCTCCATCTTTTTACCTCAAGGAATCCATTCCCTAACAACAACTTGGCTCACTCCATCCTTTGGCTTGCTTAGACATATCCCGCCTAGTCTGGCCACCCCACCATAGCTCGCATTGCCGTCACGGTTAGCGACCCACGAACTCCAAGGGATACGGATTTGCGGTCCTTCTGAGTACAGGTATAGCATGCCAGCTCCCTCAAGGTCATCGTAGCACACGATCCACAAAATCTCACCTTATCAGTCCCTTGCCTTCCGCCTAAAAACCACGGCGTCGGCCCCTTCTAGCTGCAAGTATGGGGGACTATTATCACCATTTTCTCACCTCCATGACGGGGGTGGCAGCTAGCCAAAGTACAAGTCCGCAGGACATACATCCCCCCCAATTTCCAGGCGCCCAGATGTCCATGATGGGCGGTGCCATGCCTGGGCCATATCCCAACCTTGGATATTTCACCGGCTTCCCTGATCCCGTTGGGCTTACTGCCCCCAAATCCTCGAGGAACCGAAGAAAGTCGGCTTCGGGCTTAGATCACGTCAAGCACCGAAGAACACGATCCGGTTGCTACATGTGTAGGAGCAGAAGAGTAAAGGTATGTCTCCGCATCCTCTACAAGATTATAGCCTTCTGACTCGATGTAGTGCGATGAAAGCCGGCCAGTTTGCGATAGTATGTTTGGCCGAAGAGGTACTTGTGATTTGCATCGTTAACGTGAGCATAGGGTGTCGAAAAGGTAGCCGCGAATGCATCTATCCAGAACCACCAACGACCAAAGGATCTCCAGCACAAGGCTCCTCATCCAAAGATGGAGCTCCTACTCAACAGCAGGCCAGTCCGGATTCTTCCAACGATGCTGAAGATGGAGAAGACGACACCGAACCCGCCGGTCTAGACACCATTCTTGACGAGGACGAAGGAGAGGAAGAGTCTTTTCAGAGACAATTTTCTGGGCCGAGTAGAAGCAGCACAGCTTCTTCCTTCAACCTACAACGTACGGGAGGCACACGGCACGGCTCCGAGACGCCATCACACGAGGGGACCAAGAGCGCCTCGCCTTCAACGTCTACCGCGAGCAGTCAAACAACTACCGCATATACGATGCCGGATCTTACGATATTATCCCTAGGTGGTCACGCCGACTGGTCACATCTGCCCCCCGACCTCCGGCAGCATCTGGAATACTTCTGCGAAAACGTCACTCACTATCATTACTGTATGCTCACTGACGCACACGAGTTCTTCCGTGTAATTCTGCCGAATTTCGCGTTACAGAACGAGGCTCTGTTATACGCGGTTGTGGGCTTCGCAGCGTACCAACGTACGATACAGGATCCCAATGGCAAGATGGAAGAGTTTCTGAAATACTACAATAAGAGTGTTATCCTGCTGCTCAACTCCCTGAAGAGGAAGGAGAAGCATAACATTGCTATGCTATTGACCGTCCTTCAGCTTGCCACAATCGAGGTACGGCATTTTCCGCATATAGATGGAGAGTAAACATGTGGCTAATCTATGATACAGGAGTATCTGGGCGACTGGATCAACCTTATGGGGCATCAGAAGGCTGCTTTCGAGATGCTGACACATTTGTTCACACCTGAGACGGCTACGCAGACCCCTCTTGGAAGAATGATTGTGTCTTGGTATGGACGCTTCGACATCTTCATCGCCATGATGGGCGGCTTCCCCACGATGCTAGCCCCCGAGTGGTTCATAACTTTTGTAGAATACTGCGATCAGCAAGCTGTATCGGACGAAGCGGATAGCCTGCACTGGAAACTCGAAGCGGAATCAGGTCGCCTGCGGGTTATTTCGAGAGAAATGTCTACCCTCTTCGCCCGAGGTAGCAGAGGCCAGATAACACCGGAAGATTTCGCGACGGAGCACGAACGACTACAAAACTCGCTTCAGGGCTGGAAAGACGGATGGGATCACGCACTGACTGACCCTGCTTACTACGTCACCGACTTTAGCCACGCGGGGCCTCTAGGGGAGGACAACATCGTCGACCCGTTTATCACAGGAGTCTTGTACGATTTCCCGATATTCTCGACAACGCTACTCACCAGCGAGTTCAACTCTACCATGATGATGCACAAGTGTCAATCGTCGACGACGCAGCGGGAACACCTGTATGGCGAGCTTAGAGGTCACGCATACGCCATCTGCCAAATCTTTGAGGCTGTCGAGAGGTGGCCGTCGAGCCCCAGGGGCAGCTTAATCCTGATTCAGGCTTGCATTGCCCTTTCGGCTTTGTTCTTACCGCAGGATGCCAAACACCACAACTGGATCCGAAAGAAGTTTGCTTTGCTAGAGACTATGGGGTACGTGGAAATGCTGGCTGCAGCCTTCTGCTTTTTACCTCGCATACGACGGGACAGCCACACTGACGTTCGATGAACCCTACACAGATATATACACCCGATATCACTCCGCACCAAGATGGCTGAAATGTTCCACGAGCCCAGCTGCGTGCGCTGGTGGCTGCCCAACGACGAGGGCTACAGCCGTATCCTACAGGACGTGCGGACTTTTGCCGATGAACGCAACGCCAATGCCGCAACCGCCCAGGCGGAGAACCTAAGAGAAGTCAGACACATTTTTGCAAAGATGCAAATGGCGGAGGAGAATGCAACACAGGCTGCATAGATCTTGAGACCCAAAAACTTTGGGGCAAAGGGGGAAAAGAGGGAAGGGAATCGTGAACATGGGGAGGAAAAGTCGGGGCGATAAAAACAAAAAAGGAGGTGGGAAGTCTTGATCGACTCGGCAAACACAGTGGCTGAAAGGTTGGACGGCATACGATGCCCGTTATAGGAGATGGATTGGGAGGATCGGGGCTCGTTGGGAGCTCGTTGTAAGCGGACGTTACGGTGGAAACGACGGGGGAAAAGTTCGAGCATGGACGGATCAAAACAAAGCGGCGGCATATTTCTTTTCTTCATTCCCCCTTCTATCTAGAGGGCTACATCTATGAACCCATAAAGGCCATGCCATACCCAGGCAAAGGCCATGCGCATTTTGGCGTTGGGTCTTCTTTTTATGTTTCCATTTCTCCCTTTTCTTCCCTCCCCGTCCGATTATTCGTTTTAGCAAAAATCCCCCATCTGCGCCCTTTGTAGGAGGATTAATGTATTATATCTTGTTTCATTTTCTTGCACATTTTTTTTCTCTTCATCTCTTTCCTCATATCATCATCATCACACATATTTCTTGCTTCCACGTTAGACATAGATTCTGTGTGAAACCCTGTTTTTCCCTTTCCTATTTATACACACAACCTCGTGATACGTTCTGACAAAAAATAAAAGACATCACGAGACTTGGAAGAGAAAACCTCCGAAAACGAAGAAGAATATTATACACATACGTGGGCCTCGTCTCATTACAATAATAGAAAAAAAGAAGAAAAATGGTCTACCAGTATCCTGCCCAACTCAGAACCACCGCCCCCTGGGTTTGACCGATAGGCATCAAGTCTGTGGCTTGAACATTCATCAATACGCAAAGTCATTAAACCCCCCTTTTCTCCCTCTGTCATGCCTCCTTTTTAGCCCCCTCGGCCTCCTCCGCCTTCTCCTCCTTTGCCTCGTGCTCGGGCTCCGTTTCCTCCGCCTTGTCGGCTTCTTCGGCCTTGCTGTCCGCATCTGCGGCATCTGTTGTCGTCGTAGTCTCGTCTACTTTGGCGGTTGACTCCTGAGCAAAGTCGTGAGTGCTGACGTCTGGAATCTCGCCAGATTCATCGTCATCCTTAGCTGTTGCATTGGGAGTCTCATCCGCCGTCTTGTCATCTGCGTCTTTAGCCTCGTCGGTACCTTCGGCTGCTGCCTCACTTCCTGATGCAGGAACGTCCTCATCCTCACCGAAGTTCAAATCTGGCCGCGGTTGGTTTGAGTGGGCCATACCGCCCTCGGTTTCTTCATAGACCAAAGTCGTTTCCGCATCGGATTCTGTATCAGGGTAGTCGGTTTCGACCACTTGAGGCTCTGCCGCAGCGGCCTCTTCCTTTTCTTCCGTGGGCGACGCATCCCCAATAATCTCCTTTTCAACAATCACCGGCACGTCGGCCACTTCGGGCTCCTCCTCGAGCGTCTCAGGGGCAGAGATGCGCATCTCCCGCAACTTATTTGTTACAACATTATCTTCCTCGTCAGCCTCCACGACTGTCGTCACAGCACTACCGACAGAGGGACTCGCCCTGACATGACGTCTCGTAGCAGTACGGCCAACAGGCTGAAAGTTGTCGTCTTCGCTCTGTCCGAGGCTCTCACGGTGGCTGGGCTTCACAATGGACATTGGAAGCTGCTTCTTATCACCACCGTTGGCATCGGGCACCGCCGTTGCCGTCTCCAGGCCCTCGGCCTCAGGTGGGAGCTTGTAGTTCTCGGCGGGGAGGAGGTCGTACATGTCGCACACGGTCTTGAAGAAGACGTAGAGTCCAGTCTGACCCTCAATGGTCCAGAAGACAGCGCGGTGCTGGAACCAGGCGTGCGCGAAGATGCGATGCAAGCGGCGGAAGACGTTGACGAGGTTCTTGACGGCGACGCCCTTGTTGTGAACGTCGGAGAGGACGACGAAGCGCGAGGGGAAGATTTTGGGATCCGTGACGATATTGGCGGCCCAGTCGAGCGTGTGGCAGCAGTAATCGATGGCGCAGCAGCTCTTGGGCTGCTCGTGGACGGCGCAGAGGAACTGCCACTCTGACGCGCGCATCTCGGGACACGTCGCCGCGCTGCAGGGTGGGGAATCGAAGAGGAAGCCGACAATGAGGGTGTTGCATTGCGAGATGAGGAAGCGACACAGTTCGTACAGCCAGAGAGTGCGGTCGATGCCCGGCGGGGGCGTTGCCAGCTGGATTGCGGTCGTACGGGTTATCGGGACGCTGTTACTCTTGGTGTGGTGGTAGTGAAGTGCGGCGAGATGCTCCTGGAGCTGGAAGGCCGAGTCGAGCTGTGCAAAAGGGTTGTGTAAGCGACAGAATCGCAAGTTTGAAATCGGCTGTTCACGGGTGCGTTGCTACGAACCTCATTAAGGGGGATAAGCGGCGGTCCAGCAGCCATGTCGGCGGCCTTTGTTCCCGGGTGTATGCGACGCCTCGAGTTGGCTTCAATGAGAGACTGCTCCATTGGTGAGGCTTCGCGATTCGATTGCGCACCCATGGAAGGGGACTTGGGACCGATTTGGATCTCAGCGGGCGGCGGCGGACTGGGCAGCCGGGGCGAGCTCGGCGCCATTGCCATTGTGAAAGGAGGTGATGGAGTGGTGGTGGTGTGGGATGGTATGGTATCGGGGGGTGGTCTCCGTGATGAAGACGATGTAGAAGAGAACGAGCGACTGGAGAGTATTTTGCAACCGCGGTTCAAGAGCTATTGTGTTCCCCCCTTGCGCCTCCAGGATTTGCGGTCACAGACTGTCGTAGATGTGTTGGTATGTCGTGGATGGGTTGTGTTGTTCAAGCTGGGCGAAAAGTCGTGGTCGGGCGGCTAATCAAGAGCTCCAGGTCACCCACATCGAATGAAAGTGCTTTGGGGGCCAGAGCTCCTGGTTCTACCGTGTCGCTGCTGTTGCGACCCCGGCACACCCCAGCTCAGCTTAGTCAGGAAATCATCCCCGGCCATTGACGGTTGTGTGTCCTTCTTTCCATTTTTTTTTGGGTGAGTGTGAGTGCCGGCGTGTGGGACTAGGTAGACGACGTCAAATAGGTACGTACTCCAGGCTTTGAATACTACTTCCTTCGTGCCTGGGAACTTTCTTCGCTTGACAAGTCAGTTGAAGGGCGTATTCTTCACTGAGAACTCTCTCAACTCTACAGCCTTTTCCCAAGACCAAGGGAATTCAGTCACTTGCAAGGCACTCGCTGCTTTCTTCCATTCGCCTCTTAAGCTGCAAAGAATTGGTCTGAGCTCTCTCGCAGGGTTCCCCTCCATCCTAGCATGGATTTCGACGATGATGCCCCGCCTGATCTGGTAGAGGCCGGAACCGTTGCTGAGGATGATCTGCCACCGTCGGAGAGCCAGATCAAGGTCCCGATCACCATCGTAACGGGTTACCTCGGTGCTGGGAAGACGACGCTGCTCAACTACATCTTGACGGCGCAACATGGAAAGAAGATTGCCGTGATTATGAACGGTAAGCCAATCGCGTAATCAAATGTTTAGCGGGGCATTATACTGATATTATTCGCAGAGTTTGGCGACTGTTAGTTTCCTCGGATGTAACCACGCACTTGAACCCACTGACGCTTTTCAGCTCTCGATATCGAAAAGTCGCTCACTGTCAACAAAGATGATGAGCAAGTTGAGGAGTGGCTTGAAGTCGGCAACGGCTGCATATGCTGCTCCGTAAAGTAGGAACACCCCGTCAACTAATCGCATTTGTATTAATACGCCCAGGGACACTGGTGTCAACGCCATCGAGTCGCTCATGGAGAAGAAGGGCGCGTTCGATTACATTTTGCTAGAGACCACAGGTCTTGCGGACCCTGGCAACCTTGCGCCCCTGTTCTGGGTCGACGATGGCCTAGGAAGCACAATCTACTTGGACGGTATCGTGACTCTGGTAGATGCGAAGAATATTCTTCGCAGCCTTGACGACCCCGCCGGCAAGATTGAGATCGACGAAGATCACAAAGAGGATGACGGCCATAGTCACGGTCCGCTCATGACGACGGCTCACGTCCAGATCTCACATGCTGATGTCATCGTCATCAATAAGTCGGATCTGGTTTCCGAAGAAGAGTTAGGACAGGTCAGATCGAGGATAGAGTCTATCAATGGACTCGCCAAGATACACGTCACCAAGCAGAGCGAGGTGCCGAAATTGGAAGGGTTCTTGCTGGATTTGCATGCCTATGACCAGGTCACGGAGCTCGACACCAGCCAAAAGGGCCACAGCCATCTAGATTCGGTGAGTGACTCCACGAAAGTCGCAGCATTTCTCTTTTGCTGATAAAGTGTAGACCATTTCGACCGTCTCGATACCAGTGCCAAAGTTGGCACCCGCACAACTGGAGAAGATCGATTGGTGGTTGAGAAAGATCCTCTGGGACCGTAAGCTTCCTGGGGACGAAAAGACGACGCTTGAGGTCCATCGGTCAAAGGGTCGGCTGGTCTTTGACAACGGCGATGTCAAACTCATCCAGGGCGTGAGGGAGATATTCGAGATTCTTGACTCGCCTGACCAATCGCGCGAGGCCACGCAAGCTCAGGAAGGCAAGATCATTCTCATTGGAAGGCATCTCAAGGGCGTCGACTTCGAGAAGAGCTTGGTGGATACAATCAACTCGAGCATATGAATAAAACTTCTGAGACACAATGCGTTGTTCTGGGCGCGTGATCATTGAGACATCGACTGCAAGACGTGCAGAAAATAATTTCCAGAGACGGCAGCGCAAGTGACTTTATTGCAAGAGTGCGAGTGCCTCGGCTGTTAGAAAGCATCAAGCCAATGCATGCTGGAAGCTGCCATCTCATGTGTTGAGAGGGACATGATGTCAAAAAAAGGCCCCAGGTGTATGTACGGCAGTAGCGCGTTCGCACTGATGCAGGGGGTTTTTGGAGGGGCTCTGGGCGCACAGGCCATCGGATCCATCTTTGACCGGTCCTCCGCGCGTTAGTGTTGGCTGGGCTTCGACGTCTCTACACTGTACACCAGGAATCCGCATAGAGCTTCCTTCGTGTGCGCAAGCTTCGAGCCAGAATAATCTTTCGAGCCATCTCGACCACGAATGCATCCTAATTGACCCCCGAACTCCCCGCGACGACGAACCATACAAAGCGACCCCCGATAGCGACCGTACACTCCCCGAGCCTTCATCATGAATCGACCAGGTAGGCCTGACCCTCTAGTCGTCCCCTTTCAGCCTCGGGGTACCCCGCCGTTTGCATGTCCATCAAGGCCACTTGGATCTCGTCGCACCTCTCAATTGTGGTCGCCGCGCCTCTATATCGTCGAGAAAGCTTGAGGAGCATCGAAACCATGCATGCGAAACGTCACGCCACCAATGATACTCTCAGTAGATCGTTGCCACTGTTAGCGCCGACATGTAGCCCTCACCCTCGAGATCCAGCGCTGGTACTCTTCGACGTAAACACGGCCTTTGGATGGACAATCATGGACCCCTCGTACACACGCTACTGTTGAAGACGATGGCTTCGAGCCTCGCTACTCTTAGGCGACACTATGCAAGACCTCCAAGCTGACAATGGGCGCAACCAGTAGGAGTAGCTCCTCAATCACTGCGTGGCATACCGGCAGGTTTTGGTGGCCAGCAGCAGCAGCAACAACAACAGCAACAACAACAAGCTGGGAGGGCAGTATCAAACAGGTTACCAAATGGGAAAATAGGTAGGGACACTCAGCTCTGTCTCCATGTGTGTGGTGTGATTGGGTACAAAGGCGGTGCCAACAGGAAGACCTGATGTTAACGTGGAGTATCTTGGAATATACAGGCAGTAATGGATCTGGCTGGGCATTTGGAGGAGGAGTACCCATGGGAGGTGCTGGTTTGCCAAATCAAGCCCGTCAACTTGGAGGAAATGTGAGCTTTGCACAAAGCTTAAGCGGGTCGCAACCGGCAACGCCGCTGGACCTTTCGTACGTTCTTTCCTCTTTCCTCCCTCACCGGCTACCCTGCACATCCACCTACCGCTTTCCCCACGATCACCACCCAAAGTAGTGGCACCAGCCGCATTTCTAGCTTCACGGCCAGCCGCACTTTGGTCTTTCTACTTTTCTCGGGTCTTTCGAGCTCTCGTCTCTTCTCTTCCTTTCATCATGGGCAAAAGGCAACGTCTTGTCCGAAAGAAAGCAGCGAGACAAGAAAAGATGGATAAAGCATCGTCTTCTTCGCCTCGCGAGAAGCCCAAAAAGGGCTACGCGGATGTCCTCAAGACGTATTTTTATTCTCCCCCTTCCTCTCCTTCCTCATCACTGCGTCTGGCGCGATCGCGGGCGACCGCTTCACCCATCATTTCTGCCACCGATAGTGGTACTGACTTCTGAAGTAGCGAATTTCCATCTCTCTCCAACAACGCCCAGATGAACACCACCGGTCAGTCAAACATGTGGTCATCAACAGCGTCGCGGAACCTGGGTGCTGGCCCAGTGCCGCGCAACCAGCAGTCGACGCCACTGTCGGCTCAGAGCGGGCAGGACGAGCTCTTCACGCCAACTTCGGCTCGCCAAGGCGCCTTTCGCTTCGGTGGTCAGAGCAGCGCAGGTCCGGCGCCTCAAGCCCAGTCTAATCCTGTGGATGATTTCCCGCCCTTGAATAGAAACTCGAACGGCGAAATCGGTGGTGAGCGAAGTGCTAACCTGATGCCCTCTTTGGGTTTCGGTGGCAGCCAGGCCAGCGGCTCAACCGCCGCGATACCTCCTGCCCGAAGTGCAGGTGCCGGTAACGGTCTTCTCAATGCGCTCTCTGCGAACAGCAGAACGTCAGATGGTCGCTCACCTTCCATCGCTAGCGTGCAAGGTATATCGAACCCAGCTCATCGGACGGCCATACACTCACTGACACGATATAGATCAAGCAAGAATACAAGAGGCATCTGGCGAAAGAGGCAACTCTTTCGCTGATGAGACTGGTGGCGACAGCGCTTCTCAGTCCGCAGAGACCAGGAACCCCCCCGGCGCCATTGGCAACGACGCAATCACAGGCAATGGCAAGGCCAAAGAGGAGAAGGAAGGCCAATCACCCGACGTGCAGGACCCTCTGGCGGGAATGGCGCCCATCGACAAATTCGGCATGAAGGGTTTACGCGTTCTCATGAACAACTACCCCAGCTATGGCGCCCTGATGCAGGGAATGGATCCCAACGAGTTCGGACTCAACGTCAACTCGCCAGAGTAAGCATTCTGACTGTTTGTAAAGGAACACCTACTGACCATGACAGTCTCATTTCTACGCAGATTTACTCTCTCTACGACGACACGCCTCCGCGTCCCGCGATTCCCAGCGTCCGGCTTCCTGAGTGTTACAAAGTGACCAATGTGCAACCAATTGAGACCAAGATCCCGTCGTTCAACGAGGAGACCCTGTTCTGGATCTTCTACAGCTGTACACAGGACGTCAAGCAACAATTGGCTGCGGTCGAGTTGTATGTATTTCTCACACCCGAGGTGGCCACTGTTAACAACCTTGCAGGCACAGCCGAAACTGGCGTTGGCACAAGAAGCTGCATTTCTGGTTGACTAAGGACGAGCTCATGATGCCCGCCAGCCTTGGTCCCCACCATGAACGCGGCTACTACATCGTCTGGGACACCACCAACTGGCGCAAGGAGCGGGTACGTCTTGGGTTTCTCTCTTTCAGATATTGAGCGCAAATGACTAATCTTGAATACAGAGAGAACTCACTCTCCACTACGGTGACCTGGAGACAAATCTGGCACAACCGGTTGCATAGTTGAATTGGGGTTTATGGTTCATTGGCTTTCTCGTTTTATTGACGAGGCTGGAAACGACTTGGTACCTGGGCACTGGGCATGAGACCCGACAGGCGTTAAGTCATGTTGATACGGCATGGTTTTACAGGCTTCCGGTATGAAGCTGGCCAGGCAAATGGCAGCCGCTGCATATCTGCCGCTGCTTTGTGTGTATGAATCACTGATCAATGGGAGTTACCCACGGCCGTCAAACAAAGGGAAATAAAATGACGACGCCGATGCTGCGAACGAAAACTGTCTTCTATCTCCGTGCTTCCAAATGTACGTGATGTTACCTTTTGGACGTCGGAAGCGCCTGGTATAGCAAGAGATATCTCCTCTGTGAAGATATCCTTACGGAGAAAGGTACTCAGAAGTTACCTTGGCGAGCTTGAGTGGAGGTTGTTAGGGCGGTCCGTGCTCGACTTCCTCAGATGGGAAAGCGCGGGTAACTCCGATTGCGCGCCACTGTCCACATAAGCTCCAAACCCCTGCTCCCTGAGGAGGGCTGATGAACTCATCAACTCCATAAAAGCTGCCAGCGAGACTCCACGCATCTGATCCGACCACATCCCTATCCCACGCGCAGCGGCCATACGCTCCTCGGACTCTCTTCATTTTGGTTGCAACCTCCAAGAGGCCTGCACCGCTCCAAGCTTCCAACCGCCACTTCCGACAGCGAGAGCCCACAAACACTCCGGCCTTACACCAGATCGACGACCTCCACCGGCCAGAGCGGCACGACACAGACACAGAATCCGTTGCCATGGCGAACGAGCAGATCTCGCTGCCGTATCTGGTGATGATACTGCTGGTTACAGCATTCGTGATACGGTTCCTGTTCTTTTCGCCCGCCCCGCCACCGGCGCCGCGACAGAGCGCTGCAGCGGTACTACGCACGCGCGAGGCGGCGGTAGAGAGGATACAGCAGATGTTCCCGCAAGTGGACAGGCGAACGGTTCTGTGGGATTTGCAGAGAAACGGCGGAAATATCCAGGCGACGTCTGAGAGGATTCTCGCAGGACGGATGGAAGCTGTGAGTTTGAATCCTTGCCTTTCCCAACTTCATCTCGGGCGAAAGCTCGGCGTGCCGAGTACGCACGCGCCGGCGACAACATCATGGCTGGGAGCTACTATACCCCCATGATACACGGATTACTTTCTCCTAATGTCGCGCACTTCATTTTTGCTGACCTTGGTACGTGTCGTCAAACAGCCCCCAATCACCTTCCAGCCCCCTCCCCCGCCGGGAGCGAATAACGCAGCGTCCAGCTCCTCGACACCGGCCAAGGCGCCCGAGAAGCCCACGCAGCCGGACCTGATTACGAGATACAAGCTCCAAGATAAGATCTCGGCGCAGCAACAGCGGCAAGCGGAAGCGGACGCCGCCGCCGTCGCGGAGAAGGAGAAGGAGAAGGCTGCCAAGGGGTGGAGCTCGAACAGGGACGAAAGGCAGTCGCTGTTGCAGAAGCGGAGGGACGAAATGATTCTTGCGGCGCGGCGGAAGATGGAGGCTAAGATTGCTGCTGAGAAGGCGGCATAAGGTAGTCTTGGATTACGGCGAAATGGGATGGGCCTTTCACAGCGCATTGTTCTCTTGATTGTTGAAGGCATGGGAAGAGATTGCCGGGGTATGTGCATTTGGGAATTCTGTACACTCACACTCACATACATACTCGCACAGGAACAGCCGAGAACGAAGAGCTCTTCGGCTTCAGTCTAGTTTGGAGGAGGATGGATGAGGATATAATGGCACATATTTCTTATGCCTCCAACGCTGTGGGGAAACCTACCTTGCCTCACACTACTTTGGCACATGTCACTTTTCTCCTCGGAACCGTGGGCTTAGCTGGCCGATGGCGCGATGTGGATCTGGCTTGACTACTTTACCTCATGCAGTGAGAATGTGCGTTGAGAAGAAGGACCCTGATGAGTCGTGTCGAACTTGACAAGCACGTGCTGCGGTTGAACGGGGCTATTCGAACTTGACCGAGATAAGAACCTAAGGGCACGCCACTCCGGTAGTTGTCACAAGTAAGAAAACGGAGAGCGGGAGACCCAGGCGCCGTTGGCATAAGTGCAACCGTATCAGTGTCGCCCATCTTCATGAAGGGGTTAGTTCATCGGGTCTGAACGACATTAGCTTGACGTTTCCTGTGGGCTTGACTCGTTCGTTTTGTTTGGCACTTATTAATCTTCACCACCAGGAAAGTTTGGAGTGATTTTATCAAATTCTTCGTCAGTGACGTTTATACAAGGGGGGAGTCATGACATGCTGTGAGAGATAGGTATGTGGAGCTTATGTAGAGACTATGGGACGGAGGTGGTAGGATGTTCTTGTCATTATCACAACTACTCGATTTCATTCGAGCAGGTGTTTTGTCACCACGGTTGTTTGTCTGCCTTGACATCACGTTCCAGCCACAGCGCATGTGATTGAGGCTCTCTCTCACTCCGCCGAGCCGCATGATACTGGTTTGTGTGACCGGACAGACTGTCTCGCCGTGGGGGGGCAACGGCCATGACATCTTGTCTTACGTGCGTGCTGTTAAGGCTCCAGATGCAATGCTGGGTGGCAACATGCACATTGCATTGCCATTTGATAAAAGAATTGTCGCCTCGAATGGTCTCTTATCTCGACGCCAAAGTTCTTCTTATGCTGCTGGACTGAAGATCTGAACAAGCCAACGTTTCATAGGTCCAGGCTCTCCTCACGTTTCCCCAAGTCGGGTGGGAAAAAAAGTACGGGACGATTCGAGAATGACTCGGGAGAACGACCCGTTCCTCGGACATGAGGTTCCTGAGAGACACGTGGGGGTTCTGTTCTGCTGAGATTCGTGGACCATGAAAGAGTCGGATGAAAACATGGAATGCATGTTTAGGTGGCTTCGAGGCAGAGAAAGGAGACTGAGACATGGGGCGCAACATGGTATAGGCGTGTAGGTAGTCAGAGGTGAGATTGGGGTCTGGGCCGCGGGTAAATCTTTGTCGTTCTTCATCGATCGCGTGGGTTGTCGTAATACAGCAGCATGGGGGCCTGTCACACTGGTGATTGTCTTGTTGGTGTGAATGTCAGATCTCATCATCTGTCTCCTAGGGTTACCCAGATTAGGCATGCCGTCGGTATTGCACCCTGTACGTGAGGTAAGGCAGTTCTCCGACTGGTGTCGTTCGACTGATAAGAAGAGGGTGTTGGAAATCTAAACTCGGGATGACAAGACGCCTCTCTTTACGCCGCATGTTGGTCAAAAGAATCCGAGGTTCTGCTACTATGTAACGGCAAGAGGAGTAGGAGGGAAGTTAGCGCCGGTGGCAATGAGATAGATGCAAGTATCTCATTACTGAGATGTGAATGAATGCAGTTCATCTTGTAGTTGAAATGGTGAGTGAGAGAGTTGTTGGCGGACGTGGAGGGGTTCAAGGAGGGGTACATGGCACGGGATGCTACAGCCCAGTGTCCGTACCAAGATTTGCCGGCGTGTTCTGACGGCTGGATCTCACTCGCTGTACGAGTCTAGCTTCTCTCCATTTTTTCTTTCGGGGGTGGTTTTCTCCTCCCAATCCGTTTTTCTCGTTCCTGTCTAGCGCCACCAGGTCTTTGGCTTGGAGATTGTAGACGTTGTGTCACTGAATGTCACTCCTAGCCGGAGGCTTCTTTCTGCCGATCTCATGGGACGCTCGTTCAACCGTTGAATCAGCCCCCCTTGCAATGGGGGGAAACCGGTTCAAAAAAGAAATGTCCCGCAGGAAGATGCAGCGTGACACAGCCGGGATTTGCGACATGGTGACTTGGTGACTTGCAGGATCGTGACGAAAGACTACGATCCTTTGACTGCACACACTGCTCTGCTGCGATATCTATGCAGCGCTGTGTAAGAGGCCATGAATGCCAGGAGCCTCTTGACACTGGACCCTTGTAACGCTTAGCGTCCCAATTGCGTGCATGCAGATGAGGTGGGGACCGTCAAGAGACTCAGAGAATGAGTGTGAGAATGAGAGAGAGAGAGAGAGACAGGGCGTATCCGTACGCTTCCGCGTGAGGGCTACCTACCTCTTCATGCATTCGCTGCATTGGCGCCATGGGCCATGTGTTTTGTGGGTGGCTATGGGCATGGGGGCATGGATGGATCAGATAGAGAAAGACAAGACCGATAGAGAGCCCCGCTTCGACCCAACATTTCTGTCTTTCACATGCTTTTTTTTACTGACTGACTGACTTGACTGTAAGTCCCTCCCCGTGGGCCCCATCTTCACCGCGCAGGATATATCCACTGCCAGAGAGGAGAAAACGAAGAAGAAAAACAGGGCGGACGAATATACGATAATTAGCATGGGGCAGAGAAGGAAGAAAAATACTGAAAAAGGCTGTCCGGATGGTCAGCGAAGATGAGAGGCGGGGGGCCCTTTGTGTTAAGTTACCGTATCATGGTTCGACCAGCATGTTACGCAGTTCTGCTACGCAATACGCTGGGACGCGCATAGTAGGACGTAACAAAGACACGAGGATTTCAAAGTATCTTTTCCAGCGCTATCCGTACCTTACCGTTCTCTGTTTCTGCATTTGACAGCCAAGGTTCCGTGCTTGCAGAGACTCGAGAAGTAGAGAGACGTATTGTCCCCCAAAACATGAGGTAAACTTTCCCTCATCTGACGGGACTTTCTTCTCTTCGTATCAGACTATCTGCGAGCCGGCCACCGCCGATTCGATCCATGCCCACCAGATTTCCCGCCCCCTACCCGCCTCAGCGGGAACGACTGCCAAAGAAAGAAGATGCAAACCGGGGGCAGAAACAGGCCATTCACCACTCCCAACTGATACGCTCCATCTGCCCCTCCACTTGCAGGTTCTTTCGCTTCTTAGTCAAGACTCCAAAGTACCTACTATTACCTTGCTCTACTAGGTACTGCACTCCGTGACTGGCCTTACTTGAACTTGCCTCTTCTCTTAAACCTTTCCCCCCCTCCCCTTCGCTTTCTTTGTCTCACCTTGGATTTTGCAACTCGCTCAAAGAAGCCTCAAACCAACTGATTATCCTGTGACTCGACCTAGATCTGTCAAACAATTTTTATTTTTTTGCCAATTCATCTTCGTCGTCCTCCTCAACCTCTGCTTGGCATCCTACGTATCTTAGACTCAAAAATTCCAACCACTTTCACTTGGATACAACCGTTGCCGCAAGCACGTCAAAACGTGGGATTTACAACAGCGGGGCAATCTCTTATCAACGCTTTTTCTCGACAACATTCCCTCAGTCGCAAAGTAACGGGCGCTTGGGCTAGATCTCGACGTTCTTGGTCCGTAACATTCCTTCACTGGCGACAGCGCCCTCGTCCTCGCCATCACAAGCCTGGGACTTACCAGAATAGCAGACCGAGAACAGACCGCCACGCCATCTCACCGAATTCCCCGACAACCATTAGATTGTCAACACAGGCGGACGGACGGACAATAGCGCCCATTCCCCCTCCTTCGCCTTCCTCCCGCTCAAGAGGGAGATAATAAAAACACAATGCCCCCCTTGCGGCCCTGGGGTCCCATTTTCGAAGAGATTACTCTCCCGCAGAATAGAATGTCATCGACGGTCTTCTCGATGCTGCCAACCTCTCTTCAGTCCCGGCTACCGCCCCTGCGGTCTATCCGCAAGAGCGCGAGCATGCAAACCCTCACCTCGAGCAGGCAATCACACACCCGCACCCTGTCAGGACTCGACGACGGCGTCCACCGAAATATTACGCAGGCGCGTCTCGTCTCCGAGAGCACGGAAGAGCAGCACATGAGCCTGGTGGCCACCGAACACCGGACGTACGAGGTGCGTTCGGCAGCCGAGAAGCATGAGCAGCAGCGGCAACAAACGGAACAGTATTATCAGCAACAGCAACAGCAGGCGTCTAGCCAATCTTCAAACGTAGATTGGCGCTTCGCCCAGCAAGGTGAGAGCCGTTGTGATATTGATTGATGCCTCCGACTTACCACTTGGTCCGCAGGACTTGCTTTGATCGCCGTCGCCCAAGATGAGCTGAGGCATCCGTCAAGGCGGCCGGCAGTCGATTTTGAGAGGAAAGCGTTTCTCGACGGCGTCGAGTACATCCTCAAGGCCCTTCCCAGCGACCTCAACGAACACGAGCTTCACCGACTCCGCACGTCGACACCCTCCAATTTCATCCCGCCACCAAGTCCGGGCGGCCGGGCGTATTCCCCCTCGCGGGGTGCGAACAACGGCAGATCGATTCTTCACCGGGGCGTCCAAATCGCAGTCGTCAACATCTTCATCCTCATCCACCTGGCGCTGCCGTACATCATCCTCATGCTGCGGTTAGCGGCCCGCACGGAGAGGGAGTACCGGATATCGGAGAACCTTGTGGGCGCGGGCATGGGTCTCGCCAACGCGATCGGCAGCAAGGGAATGCGCATAACCGGGGCACTGTACAACGTCGGCGACGGCAGGCTCGGGCAGGCTCTCACAGAGGCTGTTGCCTGGACGGTTGAGGGCCTCACGGGAGGTCTATCCGATGGTGTCGGCGAGGGTCTGTCCATCGTGGCGCCCAAGAGACAATGAGACGACCGGTAATGAGGACATTTGACGCACTATGATATGGGGATTTCATCATATTTTTTCGGGTTTAGACTTTCGGCGTATATCTCCGTTTCCTTATCTCTGGTTAGGTATGGTTGCTGCAAACGCAGGTACTTTTTCTAGGTGGAACATCTCTACTTGAAAGATTCAGTTAGACCAAGTCTGGGATGGAGCGGGCTCTACCTGAGCTTTACAATAGCTCACACTAGCTTGCTGGGTTGAGCTCAGTTGGGAAAGCCTCTTGTCATTGGCATCTCACTTGAGAGCTTACTTGACTATGAGGTTTCCTGCGATGATCGAAGAGATCGGAGTCTCGCCAGCGCATCGCCATCAAATGTTGGTGGTGTGCAACGATTGGGTTATAGAGAAACTCATTTTCGACACTAATGAATCAATGACCTTTGATTTTTGTTGGCCCAAACGAGTGAGATCTCATGATAGATAAAGTACGGAGTAAGGGAAGACTAAGTTGAGCAGGGATACTGAGTACAGCAAACAAACTACCCGCCATAAATTTGGCCAGACCTTCTACTGTCCTTTCTGACCGGTCTACAAGAGGGTATTGGTTTGTCATACCACTCTGGCTCATCGTTGGAACTTCAGTGGGTGTTTGAGCAAAGGGAGTAGGCAAGAGGTTATGATTGTTCAAATTACCTGAGGTTGAGTTGAGAGAGCAAAAGTATGAGTGCTCCGATGATAGACGCTAAAAGCTTGCCTCGCAGGGGTCGAAGCCGGAGCGCCCCGGGGCGCGTCAATGAGTGGCTGTTCCATCCCGTCCCCTGTCAGTCGCAGGAAAGACCCACCGAAAACCAAAGGAACCAACCGAAGCTCAGGGAAAACGTGAAGTGATGGGCAGATAAGGCCGGGAAAAAATTCTTATCGGCTCGCCTCCTGTCTCCCAACTGGCGAAAAAAAAGAGGACGACAGATTTGCATCCTACACACCCTCCTTCGCCCACTCCCTTTTTTTCTTTCTAGAACCAAAGAGCTGTATTGTATCGTCCTTTTTCTTCGGTAGCTACTGTTTTTTAATCACATTCTACAAACACACACACATACAAATGTTTCGCCAATCTCTCAGGAGGTGCGCTCGCATCAGCGGCGCAACCTTCGCCGCCCCGGCTCTCCGAACGACCAGACCTGCCACCCTCCAGACGATCGCGAAGGCTCCAGCAAGCGCGCTTCGCGTGCCACTCAGCATTAATGCGTTCAGACTTTATTCTAGCGAGGCCGCCAGCGCTGCGGCTGCTCCGGTCGCCGAGGATGAAGGAAACGCTTCGGGTCTGACGACCAAGTTCGCGGATTTGACGAAGTTGGGCGTTCACTCTACCCTTGTCGACACCATCACGAACAGAATGCGGTATGAGAACATGACGGACGTCCAGAGCAAGACCATCGAGCCTGCACTGAAGGGCATGGATCTGTAAGTCGAATTCAATCATCATCAGCGCGACTACGCTGTACAATATACTAACACTACCTCACAGTGTCGCCCAAGCAAAGACAGGTACCGGAAAGACCCTGGCGTTCCTCGTTCCCATTCTGCAGAGAATGATTGCGGCGGATCCGTCGCTCGCAACCAGAAAGGCTCGTTACCAGGCCAGCTCCAAGGATATCCGTGGAGTCATCATCTCCCCTACACGTGAGCTTGCCGAACAAATCGCCCTCGAGGCCGAGAAGCTGTGCCAGGGCACGGGCCTGGTCGTCCAGCGTGCCGTCGGTGGAACACGAAAGGGCGAGATGCTGCACAAGACCCGTAGAGAAGGTTGCCACTTGCTCGTTGGTACACCCGGACGTCTCAACGACCTTCTCGAGGACCCTTACAGCGGAATTGAGGCACCCAACCTGGCTGCGATTGTCCTCGACGAGGCCGACCGCATGCTCGATGTCGGTTTCGAGAGAGAGCTGCAGTCTATTGTCGATCAGCTCCCTGACCCCAAGACTTCTGCGCGCCAGACTCTGCTCTTCTCTGCGACCATCCCCAAGAACGTCATCGCTCTTGCCCGCCAATGGGTCCGCCCCGACAACTTTGACTTCATCCAGACCATCTCCAAGGACGACGTTCTCACCCACGACAGAGTTGATCAGCACGTTGTCCACTGCAGAGGCTGGGCCAACGTCTTCCCTGCCATGTACGAGCTCATCGACAAGGAAATCCAGAAGAGAACTGCCGACCGGGATCTGCTGCCCTTCAAGGCCCTTGTATTCTTGCCTACGTCAGCCTTGGTCGATCTTGCTGGCGATGTCGACATTACGATGAGAGGCGACCGTGATCGCGTCCAGGGATGGAGAATTCACTCTAAGCTCACCCAGAGCCAGCGCACGAAGGCTGCAGAGTTGTTCCGCAAGGCCAGGTCCGGCATCCTGTTTTCCACCGACGTTACTGCCAGAGGTCTCGATTTCCCCAACGTCACCCACGTTATCCAGATTGGCGCTACCTCAGACCGTGAGCAATACATCCACAGACTCGGCCGCACGGCTCGTGCGGGCAAGGAGGGTGAGGGATGGTTGATTCTCGCCGACAGCGAAATGGAACTTGCCCGCCGGGAACTGCAAGGCCTTCCCTTGAAGCCCAACAAGACGCTCGACTGTGCTCAGCACGACTTCACCAGCGGAGACGAGCCTACGGCGATTTGCGAGAAGGTGACCCAGGCTACTGCTCGAGTTGACCCCCAAGTCTTGGAGGTTGCCTACCTGTCCCTGTTCGGCCAGAACCGCGACAACGTTCAGGCCAAGGTTGACGAGCTCCGCGAGTGGTGGGTCAATGCCATGGAGCAGGACGATACACCCGCCTTGAGCGCTTCCACCATCGAGAAGCGTGGTCTGCGCAGAATCAGAGGTCTCAATGTCAGACAACCGGGCTCCAGGTACGACAGCGGCGGCCGTGGCGACCGTGAAGGCTTCAGCCGTGGTGGTGACCGTGGTGACCGTGGTGGCTTCAGCCGCCGCGAGCCCCGCGATGCTTTCGAGAAGATGGAGATGGACAGCACCAGCTCTGACCGCCGTTCCTCTGACCGCCGTTCAGGTGGCTTTAGCCGGGGCGGTGGACGTGGCTTCGGTGGAAGAGAGCGTCAGCAGAGATCCTCCTGGTAAAGCGGAAGATGACGACACTGGCGCCCTGGAAGCGTAGTGCGCGCGAGCGGAGGAAAGAAGAGAATAACCAACAACGAAAAAAGTAAAGGCTCCAATGAATCGGAAAAGGTCTGTGAGATACGGAAGACGTTTTTTTTAACGACCTCGGAAACTGAATTAGACATGTCATACCATACCCCCACCCAATCCCCCATCATCATCACCACCACTCCCCTTTCCTCCTGTTTTTAAGAGGGAAACAGGCTTGTATCATACCATTTTTGTAACGGAGCACAGGAAAAGGGGGGCTTTACTCGAGGGAGTTGTGCTTGTATTACCACCACCGGCATTGGGACGGGGCTATAGCGCCTCGCGAGAGAGATTTCAACTGTACGAGATTAACGGGGGCGATAAAAAGCTACACAATTGTAGCGCCATGTAAATAATACTGAGGGACATTGAATCTCCAAATCTCATCTTCAAAGACACAAACATTTAACCCACTCTTGTCTCGTGTGAGCTGAATACTACGTGATACTTTTCTCGATATCATTGATTTTTTGAGTTAGGGCGGTGCTTACCTCTGTGTGCTCATCAGCTTAGATGACAGGAATGGTCTGCCCTCCACGTACAGTTCCGTGAGCAGTTCATATCAGATCAGACATGTATTGGTTGCGAGTCCCATCTGCTCCAAGTAACGCCAGGCAAATGTCATACAGCCATGTACGATTTTCCCAGAAAAGGGGTTGGCTAGGTCCTCCTTTCTGTTTCTGAAGATTATCACCATCCTCGTTATGTACGCGCGCGCCCGCCCTCTAAGAATACCCTCCTAAACGCCCATAAAACAAAACCATAGAATGCGCGCCTCTTCCAAGAGAAGGGTATCAGCATCCCCCAAACCCCAAAACAAGACGGACTGATCATCATGAAAAAGCACAAAGCTCATCTTCAGTCAACTCTCGCTTCCCACTTTTCACCGACCACCACCCAACAGCGCATTGGCATCCCAGAGAAGAACCCTCTCATCCCAGCCGACGGTAGCCACCCATCCGCCGACACCAAACAGACACCAGTCGACACCGACAACGAACTCGGTGTGCCGATTCATAACCCCGACCTGCGCACCAATCTGCGCCCCGCCCGCAGGTCCACCAGCGGGCGGCGCATTCGACCGATCATCCCACAGCCGAACCGTCATATCGTAACTCGCCGTCAACAGCAAATCGCTCGCGTGCGGGCTCCACGCCAGCCTGCGGACGGCGTACTCGTGGCCCTGCATGACGGCCACCGGTCCCGCCGTCGGGTTCCGAATGTCAAAGGTGCGGACGGCGCGGTCGACGCCGCCCGTGGCGATGACGGTGTCGCGGTACTTGTTCCAGTCGTGGGTGAGGACTTCTCCCGGCGCGGCGGAGGGGAAGGAAGGGCCCGCGGCGTGGACGGGGATCATGGAGGTTAGGTGGTAGCGGGAGGATACTGGGGTGCGGAGGTCAAAGATGCGGATTTGGGAGTCGGAGGAGACGGCGGAGATGATGTGCGGATTGGAGGGCTGGAAGGAGGCTGAGTAGGTGCAGTTTCCTACGGGGAGGGTGCGGAGGGAGTGGTCGCGGGTTGGGGACCACTGTAGCAGGTTGGTCAGTATATATGATGGTCTCTCTTTCGGTGGGTTGGTGTTCTGCAAAACATACCACTTTGATCGTGCCGTCCCACGAGCTCGAGACGAAAGTGTCCTTGGTGATGGGGCTCCAGTTGACGGAAAAGGTCTCGCGCTTGTGTTCGTGGAAGTTCATGACGGGGAAGTCCTTGACGCCGAGGTCGAAGAGCTTGATGGAGCCATCGCCGCAGGCGACGACGAGCTGGTTCTCGTTGATCTCGGACCAGGCGAGGTCATATTGCGAGTCGTTTGTGTCGAATCTGTTTTTGTCATGGGTTGTGTGAGCTACTAATCAAGGAGGCGTAAAGAAGCAGAAGGCGGGGGTGGGGGGGTAGACTCACGTCGTCTCGACTTCGATGCCTCGCGCCGTCAGCCCGAGACAGAAGACGCGGCCGTTGCCGACGATGCCAAAGTTGGCCGACGATGCGACGGCGATGCGCGAGTCGTAGTAGGGCGAGTACTTTACGGCGTAGGGGTTGTAGCCCTGCGTGCGGAATTCGAGCATTGGGGCCATGGCGGGCGAGGTTCACGCAAACGCAATGCGCGATGCGATGGGGCCCGTGGTTTCTCTTGTCTTGGAGTCCGTCGGGGGTCGAGAGCGAAGGGAAAAGTAAGGTTTGGTGGTTGGCACAGGCAAAGAAAGGTGCTAAGGTACCGCTACACACGTACACAGGAAAAGCATATGACGGCGGGACGGGATAGCTCTGGCCGGTCGACGGTTACATCACCGCGCCCGATCCGGGGTACCTCGGCAGACTGGGGGGAAGCACCTAGGGCCAGGCGGGTTTGCGGGCAACGCCGCCAGTGGGCAGTGGGTGGTGCGGATGGCGGGGCGGAAGATGCAGTAAAGTTGGAGATGCGATTATCGGGGGCAGCTCCTCCAAGGTGGGGGAAGTAGCACGTGCTTTCGCGCTACACACGCGCCTCCTCATTACGCCCTTTGCAATGACACTTGCTAGAAACATGGGGTCCGGACTAGTGGGGTGTTTTTACTTCAGTCTTGGACTCGGATGATTTCTTTCCAAGAACTTGAACGAGATTGATGGGCATTCCCATCTCTCTTCATGACTTACATCGGAGTTGATCTTTCGTGCCGTCCTTGACTATCTACGTCATGGACTCGTTTCTTATCAGGAAGAAGCGGAAACTCTCTCGAGAGGAGAAGCCCACGGAGGATGATGAACCGACCGAGGTGAAATTGGCTATCCTCAACTCTCTTCATCCAAATTTGGAGCAAGATGTACTGCTAGACGTCCTCTTAGCACACAATGGCTCTGTCGCGGAATCGCTCGAGGCTCTCAAGGCGCCAATCCCGATCAAAAAGTCGAATGGAGTCAACGGTGCCCAGAGCTCCCTCCGGCACTTTGGTGTAAGGTCGGAAGACAGCAGCAACGGTCCGCAGCCAAAGAAGAAACTCATGTCCAAGAAGGGTGCCACGCTTCACCTATACGATCCGCTGGACATCGCTGAACACACCCCGTGCACCGTCATCCACAACTTCCTCCCGCCAGAGGAGGCCAACGACCTCTTGCGAGAGCTCATGACGGAGGCAAAGTCGTTTGAGAAGAATGTTACCTTCAAGCTATTCGACAACGTCGTGGCTAGCCCGCACACCTCGAGCTTCTACGTCGAAAGCTACGACGAGATTCAAACGCAGAAGACGGACTACCTTTATAACGGCGCTAAGCTGAGTGACATTCGCCGCATCACGCCGCAGCTCATCAAGGTCAAACCGAAAGTCGCAGAGGCTGTAAATAAAGAGATACAGACAAGAATGAAGACTCGCTACCCCGGGGGCAAGAAGCTTCGCTACCAATCACCTAAAACGTGGGCCCCCAACATGGCCTTTGTGAACTGCTACGACGGGCCCCAAGAGAATGTTGGGTGGCACAGCGACCAGCTGACTTACCTCGGCCCTCGCGCCGTCATCGGGTCGGTATCACTGGGCGTTGCGCGGGAGTTCCGCGTACGAAGGATCATCCCCAAGGACGGCGGCGGCGAGAACGGAAACAGCACGATGATGACGGCTGAGGACGCTGACGCAGAGGGCCAGATATCCATCCACCTCCCGCACAACTCCCTCCTCGTGATGCACGCCGAGATGCAAGAGGAGTGGAAGCACAGCATCGCGCCGGCGCAGGCCATCGATCCGCACCCCGTCGCCGGCAACAAGCGTATCAACATCACCTACCGCGATTACAGGGCCGACATGCACCCGCGACACACGCCAAAATGCGACTGCGGGATCCCCTGCGTGCTGAGGGTCGTGCAGAGGAAGAAGGAGAACCACGGGAGGTACTTTTGGATGTGTCACGGGGGCAACGTGCCCGGCAAGGGCAGTTGCTCGTTTTTCCAGTGGGCCAAGTTTGACGACGATGGAGCTCCTATATGGACTCATACAACTCGAAAGCTCAATCCTTGATTTCTTTTCAACGCCTGGAAAATCACCAATCAACTACGGGACCACCTCCTCCTCAACGCCGCTCCTATCTTTGCTGGTAAATGCTGCCGCAGTACCTACGCTCAAGGGTTCACGTATCCAGGCTGATGCTCACCCTTGCCATCGATGTGGATAATCTTAAGACTCTTCACATCCACCCCGTCGAGAACACGCGCGTTAACGGGATGCCTCGTCTTCGACTTCTCGTACCAGTACTGCGCCAGCTCCACCAGATTACTCTGCTCCTCCTCGCTCAGCGGGTTGAACTGGTTGGTGATCGGGACGCCGCAGTTCTTGCAAAACGTCTTTGCGAGAATGTGGTGGCCGAAGACGTAGCGGCCAATCTTGTCGTCGTCTCCCGTCAGCACGACTTGGTCGCTGTTGGGGTACACCCAGACGTATCCATTCTATTCAAGAAAGTTAGCACAATTAATTTCCTTCCCCGATGCCGGCATTAGCAGGGCGGTGTTTGCTGACCCTTTCGCAGATGCTGCAGTTGCACTCGATGACTTCGCTTTCGTACGTCTCGTCGATGGGCTTGCTGACGACGGCCACCGTCAGAGCGCCGCAGTGGCAGCTACCGGTGTAGAGCTTGCCTCCCTCGACCTCGGCCGTCGGTCCGGGGCCCTTGTGGGTGTGAGGCTCGTATTTGGCGCCGTAAGACGCGCCGTCGTAACTGCAAAGGCCGGGTCAGCATTTCCAATCTGTGGAATTGAGGAACGGCTTTTTTGTGTGAGATTTGGGGTTGCATACGTCTTCTTCTCCAGTCCCCAAATATCGAGGTCTTGAATCGAGCGCACCTGCATAATGTCAGCCCTATTGTTTCTTCCTCCTCGGACAGATCTTGAGACGGTGCGGCAAGGATGCGATATACTTACGTTTAGGACGATTCCGTTGGGGGAATCCGCCAGGATGGGCGTAGCACAGTTTCCGCAGAACTATGAAGCCAGAAAGTCGTCAGCACTACCGGACACCAATGGACACTTCCGAATTCTTTTCAGAGAATATTTCTTTTCCACTTTCCACGTTTTCATAGCCCCGAAACTCACCTTGTGCGTAATCTGGCCGGGACCAAAGTTATACGTCGAGAGGTCATCCTCGGCGCCCTTAACGAAGCGCAAGTCGTCGCGCTGGGGAATGACCCAGAGGGTCCCCTTCCTGTAGCAGAGGCTGCAGTTGCAGGCGCTGGCGGACTTGATGTCTGGGAGCTGGACCTCGTAGACAAAAGTCTTGCAGTGGCAATTGCCACGGTAGGTCTGCTTCGGCTCTTGGGCGGTGGTGGTCATGTTAGAAGATGGAAATGGTATTGATAATTTGTGCTGTGAGGAGGCTATAGAATCTTTGTTGTCAGGGTGGAATGAATGAATTGGTATGAGATCACAGAGTCCAAACTGATCATTTGCACGGTTCTTTATAGATTCGATCTAAGAGCTTTTCATACTCGCAAACCTCACCGGGACGAAGCGAGCTGACCAGTTGAGGGCGAGCATCTCTCCCTAGTGAGCGCCACAGTTTGTTGAGACAAGCAAGTGGACTCTATCGTAACTTGGAACCGGGATACGCTCCTACAGGAAATGCAGACACAGCAAGTTCGGGCAAGTCCATCACCCACGAAACGGACGAGTCTAACGTCCGGACACCGGGGTCTCGGGGCAAATATTTCTTGTCGCTTACATTATCTTACTTTGCTGCTTGACGATCCCAAGAATCTGAGTCACCGACATGACATGACCCCCGGAGGACCGTGAACATTGCTGACGGCAGGACCATGGTGTAACACGCGCGGGGTCGCCTCGTCTCTGGCAAGTATCGTGCGTGAACGCTAGAGCTAGCAAGAGCTAAATCTTGTGAGGTAAGGGTGTAAGAAACTCTAGGGCCAAGCCACATACGACGCCCCTCGGCTCTGCGCGCGCGATTGACTGGGGGAAACGCCAGATTCTCACGTTGTCAGGTGACTTTGTACGCTTCGTTTCCCTGGGGACTCTTAGTGTTGGCATTGGAGCAGTTTATACCCCGCACTAAGAGGCGTTCTATACATGTGGCTAGATTACCAATTTACAATTGCTTCGTGGAGGTTTCTCTTGCAGCTTGATATGAGACATTCACGATATGCAAAGAGAGAGTTTGAGTATCAATTGTGCATCGGGCCTGCATCTTGACTACCGACATCTTCACGGCGTGTCCTTTCGTTGTGGCGCCGAGTCATCTTATTATCTTACAGCTGGGCATGCAAAACTCGGTTCAGCTGAGAATGAGATGAGACCTTTTTGGGACGAGTGAGGTGAGGCTGGCGGGTGAGCGAAGGAGAGTTGAGTACGGATAGACAGGGGGGGAACCAGATTAGACAGGCGAGCAGGCAGCAGGCAGCAAGGAATCGACGTCATATCCTCTTCTCTTCCTCAAGTGCGACAGTTCAAACCATGAGGGAACGTGTTTGTTGGGGTGCAAGATGGTTTGATAGGCCATGGGTACCTTAGTCGTTGGAGTTGTTGGAGTTTCGTCGACGTGGGACTCTGTTGTGGTAAGCGAGAGCTGCTGGGTCGTTCGGAGTTGGTGATCTGGCATGTTGGGGCTGAAGAAAACCGACGAACAAACGGGAAACGAACGTTGGATGTACTGTAAGAGGTTTGGAAAGATTGTTGAGATGAAAGCGCCCACTTATCGGGAGGGTTTATGTCATCCTTCCGTCCGTCCGAACGGGACTCTAGGTGCCGTTAATGGGGCTCGGTGGGGAAGGGCGCCGTCGGGGTCGGAGGGATTTCGAAGAGAAAACAGAAGCTATCTCGACGTATAGAAAAAGACGTGCATCTTCTTGTTTTCCTGTCTCTGCATCGAACACCGGATTCCGTCACATGATAGAGAGGTTTCGCTTCGAGCCCTGCATTTAGTTGGCCCACCGGACTTTAGCGGATGTTCAATGTCAGCCGGTCGAGTGTCATCAACTGCGGACCGGAGGGTTCGCCCGACTTATACCCACCACCGATGACCGTCGGCCGATACAATGTCCGCAGGTGCTTGTGACTACATTGCCACGGTAAGTACTCAGTGGTATTGGCTATATCAACGGTAAAAGGACCGAATGGTACATTTTCTGTAACTTTTCGATGCTCTGATTTCAATCACTTTTTCGAGACTTTCTTCTACGTCTATCTAATGTAGTGCTCTGGCAGTCACTCATTAGTTTGCGTCCAGAGCCCCGTTGGTTTTCCTTCCGTCTGACGTAGATGGACGAAGGAAACACGCGAAAGACGCCATGATTACTCTCCATGCCTACTCCGTACATTGCCTTCTTTCAATTTAACATGGAACGGTTTATAATCGCTTAATCAGTTACGCAGCAATATCTCCGTCCAATCGGCGGCATGCAAAAAACGGTCGCCAAGATCTGGGCGCCAGGTCGAGTGCTCCCCAACTATCCCAAGTTCGTCTCATTTAAGGTAAGGAGATTTTCCCCCTCCCCGCATAGAGAGATTTCGAATCACACCTCGCAAGCCCTGCACGCCAGGGATCAGCCGTCACTTGTTCCGCTTACAGGTCCGTACCGGCTCCCGTAAACTCCGGGGCACCCGTTCCGCGGATGACAACCTTAATGCAACGGCTATTGTTCAAGGCCCCCATTCTAAAGTCTTGTAAGATGGAGTCTTCCCCCCTCTGGAGCCATCCCCTCTCCTTGACTTTATCCATCCCCCCAGTCATCACGGTCAAAGGTAAATCACCGGTGTTGCTTCAACCGCGCGCGCCCCTTTCCACATTGCATTCATCCCGCAGATGCCGCCAAGATTTGATCAACATCAGCAGGTTGCATTTCTAAGGAGGACGGCCGCCGATTCGTTCAAACGTCTTTTCTGAGACCTTATCAACCTTGTTTCTCGTCATACCTGTATAAAGTGGAAACCCGCCTCTCCCTTTCGAGCCTCTACACTACAGTGTACACTATGCCATCATCCCACGGGCCCAAGCTCCGTTGATTGCCCAAACCAACATTGTACAGGTCTTGGGAATAAACTAAGGTTACCTTCCGTTTATAATTACCCCCCAGTCTCCTCCACCTCTCGTCTCTTGGGACCTACTCTGATGGGAAGTCACCCGCCGGCAGTTCGTTGCATCGCGTACTACGTGATTTGGCTTGGCGGCGCAGAAAAGGGGAGTCCTAGGACCTGCGCAACAAATGTAGCTTGAGCCAAAGTGACAAACGATTGATTTCATCACATCCTCGGTCTTCGGCTACGTGCATGGGATAGATGGTCCCAGGGGAAGAGAGATCTACCTGCCTTTGCAGTTGCAGGGTGATCCTGTCTAGTGTAAAGGAATGTTCTCCGTAGTCTATGCCAATACACGATGGTATGCCGGCACTTTGCTTTGAACGAACATGCCGTGGAATACAGGGAGGACGGATGATGGCCAAGATCTACAACGTTGTCATTCCCCCGCTCCCGGTCTGCCAGGATCCAGGGAAGAGAGTCAGTGTGATGATCCAGGTCTGGTATCAACGACCTGTAAGGCAGTTGGGCAGGCGAGTTCGGATGGAAACCGCTTCCGCGCTGCTGCCCCTACCATGAATTTCCCGTGTTAATGATGTAGAAAGCTGGTCCTTGCCTTCTTGGCCCCCCAGTTTTCGTCTTAAAGAGCGGCAAGGACGTCGATTCCTCTTCCTTGATTCTGGCTCCGCTTGCTGTTCTCGTCTCTAGACTCTACCTTCTCCATACTCCTCACCTCCAGTCTGTGGCGTTGAAGTCTCGAGGCGTGCTCCTCATCTTGCTTTCCAGAACATCGCAGTTGGCCTCCATCAGGTTGTTGTTCTGAGACGATCAGCTAGCACGTAGCCCGCCCTGGTAAATACTCACTGCTGCTCTGGCCACGAATCGATACAATGGCACCCGTCACATCCTTCGCAGCGTTTGCTGCCGCGGGCGCAGCTCTGTTCTCGACAATCGCCGCTCAATGCGCGAACCTCACTCCCGTCGCGCAACCCCAGCTGGCCGCGGGATACACCTCCAAGCTCATCCTTAACGGGCTGTCAAGGCCCCGCAGTCTGCAGTTTGACACTCTGGGCAACCTGCTCATCGCCGAGCAAGGAGGCACGGGTGTCAAGTACGTCAAGCTCACAGACAACGGCGGAGTAAACGTCTGCGTGGCTTCGCAGAAGACCCTCATCTCCAACACGAATGTAGGAAGCCGAGCCATCCCGTCCGCCTCTTCATGACCAACGCAGCAACTGACCTGTCCTTGTCTAGCTCGCTCACGGCTTGGCTCTGTCTGCCGACGGCAAGACCATCTATGCGGCAACGGCGTCCGAAGTGTTCGCGTACCCTTACGACGCTGCTGCCGGCACTGTTGGGCAGGCGAGGTCCATCATCAACGGAATGACGCAGACTGGCCACCAGAGCCGCACGTTGCTGATCCCCAAGGATAAGCCGAACGTCTTGCTCGTTTCCCGCGGCTCCGCCCCGAACCTTGACCTTCCAACCGCCGAGGCTTCGTCCGGCCGCAGTCAAATTCGTGCCTTTGATCTCACGAAATTGACGGGCAGCGCTGTGGACTACACAACGGGAGAACTCTTTGGGTGGGGACTGCGAAATAGTGTCGGTGTTGGAGAGAACCCCCTGGACGGAGGCATTGTAAGTGCCTGGTGCATACTCGCAGAGCCTTCAGTCAGCTAACGTTATTTCAGTGGTCTGTCGAGAACTCTCTGGACAACATGGACCGCAACGGAGTGGACATTCACAATGACAACCCCGGCGAGGAACTCAACTACCACGGCAGCTACAGAGCGGCGTCGAACCCACAGAAGGGTGCAAACTATGGCTATCCCAACTGCTTCGCCGTCTGGGAGACCAGCACCGTTACGGGCGTACCCAACGTGAAGGTGGGAAGCCAGGTTATCCAGGGCAACGCCACTGGCAGCGTCACAGACCAGTACTGCCAGACTGTTCCTACACCACCGCGGCTCACTTTCCAGGCTCACATGGCGCCGCTGGATATCAAGTTCTCCCCTAATGGATCATCCGCCTATATTTCCTTCCACGGCAGCTGGTAAGTGCTTCCGGATTGTGGACGTGATGCAACAAACGTTAACGATGTTTACAGGAACCGCTCTCCCGGCGACGGCTACCGTCTCAGCAGAGTCGACTTTGGTGCCAACGGACAGCCGCTTGCTGCGTCTACCAGCAAGACGGCCGAGGTTAGAGTTGCGTGGAACGTCAACAACGCTGTTTGCCCCGGAAGCTGCTTCCGGCCTGTTGGCCTTGCGTTTGACAAGAAGGGCAGGTTGTTTATGCTTAGCGACTCTACTGGCGAGCTTTTCGTTCTTACGGTGCCTGCTTAGAGTTCGGGTAAGCCGTGCCACCGTCATAGTTGAGAATGGTGATGCAGGGTTCCATGGTCAGAATTGATTGAGCTCTTTGCGAAGAGATGGGCGGATTCCAAGGGAATTTCTTGCACATAGTTATCTTAGCCAGCCTGGCAATGACGATATTTTGACAAAGCATTCGGATTGAGATGCTGATGACAAGGGAAACGCTGCGTGTCAAACGAGTCAAACGAAACATTTCCTCTTACGTCGTAACGAGGTTGCCCAAGACACAGGCAAGCGGGGAAGTTGGCTGTTGAACTTAATAGTGGTTGCTGAGCAGCAACGCGGAGCTCGACCCCTGCCTCGGCCTGGGCTTTGAGTGGACCAAACGGGGGGTCTCCCACAGTCCAATGGGCGCGCTGAGCTATCCCGTTTTGCACCCAGTTGGGAAAGGCGCTTTCTATGGCACCGCACCCTCGCCAGCATCCGTGTTTCCCGCGATGATGTGCGCCAGGCAGGCACGACAGGCACAAGTGGGAAGCCTTTACTTCACTTGTCAGTGTACCTAGTGTGTACCTTAGGTGCTTAGGTGACAGGCAGGCGCAAACTGCGGGTGGTGTCGCGCAGACGCAACTAATGGCGCAGCGCTCCAATCACACGGCGCATGCCCGCCCTTCAGTCTCACCCGTCCCGTCCCTCCGCGCCTTCCATCCACCCATCCATTCTCTTCCATGAATCCCATCCATCCCTCCCTCGTCTCCCGCCTTTCTCTCAACCAACAGCCTTGCTAAGCAATCCGCTTCCCGCATTCTTTCCCGATGGGACTGAACCATCGCATCAGACATTAAATTTGCCATTTCTCGTCCCGTCATTTTCGTGGACTGTGTCACCGAATCGAGCGACATTTTTCTTGTCGCCATCTACATACTCCACGCCCTCGGCCAAGCGCTCGGAATCTGTCTCAGGCTTTGCGACGCTGCAACGTCGGAGCCAAAGCCGTTCAACCCAAAGACCGCCGACGCGCGCGCTCGCTGCTCGGCACGACCTTGAGGCTGCTAGCCTGATTCCTTTCGTTTCCCCAACGTCTTTGCGTGCATTCCCATTGCCACTTGGCCGCATCATTCGACCAATATTTGCGACAACTCTCACGAGCCGTGCAGGCAGCCCTACGAACAAACGACCGACCCGATCTACCGTCACTGCGTACCTGCAGGCGACTTTTTCCCTACGACTGCGCGCGAGCCTAACCGTCGCGCCACGGACCGTACGCCATCAAGAAATCACGCCTCATCCCAAGCTTTTCTGACATAAGGCGCGCGCGCGAGAGAGAGAGAGAGAGAACGAGATGCCCCTCCTTCCTCGCCAAACCACCACGAACGGCGTCGTCGTCGTTCCCGCCACGTACGGCGGTTGGTCGAGCCTCGGCGCCGGTGCGATCGTAGGCATCACCCTCGGCGCCGTCGCAGGGTTCCTGCTCGTCCTGTGGATGGTCTACACCTGCCTCAACTTTGGCCGGCCGATCGAGGCCTCGTCGTCGTCGGTATACACGGGCACCGCGTCGGTCGTCTCGGTGCGGCGGCAGCGGTCCAAGAGCCGGCATCGCCACCGTAAACATCGCAGTCCGCGGGCGAGGGTGATTGCGACGGAGGAGGTGCGGGTCAGGGAGAGCGTGAGCAGGCCGCCGGCACCGGGTGGTCCGATTATTGTTGAGGCGGCGCCGCCGCCGCCGATGCAGGAGCGGAGACATAGTCGGGCTCCGCCGCCGAGGATCGTGACGGATGATGAGGAAGACGAGGTTGTGGTGATTGAGGAGCATTCGCCGTCGGATAGGAGGAGACGGCGCCATAGTAGCTCGCGGCGGCACAGTCACCGGGGAGAGAGCCGGCGTGGGAGCCGGGACTACTGAGGTGTTGGCCTACTTACCTGCCCAACGTACAAAATCGCGTTGTTTCTTTTTTTTTTTTTTTCTCCCTTTCTAGCGATTGGATTTTTGTTGGGACCTTGTTTGTAATAGATTCTGCTACGGTGCCGTGAGTGCGGCATATTCACGTGAGCGATGAGCGATGTTGTACGAACCTTTTTTGCCGGGATGGATGGATGATATACTAGGGCGATTGTACGTCAAACATGGAGATGGCACGTGGATACCGGGCATACCGATCGGAGCGGGAAGGGAATGATGAGGAAAGATGGGGGAAGTGTCAGATGGAAGATCAAAGTGTGGGGTGACTCCGGACAGCAGGATGGTGCCGAAGGACGTGTTCGGTTTCGATACGAAAGTCCGTATTCCCATACGCACGGAGGGATGTTGGATGATCTTGAATTGCTTCCCGAATACGGCGGATGAAGGTAATCCCATGATCGGTTCATCACGCCAACGGGTTGGCAATTGTGATGCTGCCTCGGTAGCTGGTGCGCGCGGTTCGAGTAGCGTCGTCACCTTTTTCTTGCACTCTTGGGAAAACATCTGAAGGAAATAGCGGGGGGAGTAGTGCTTATTTTGAGTGATGAGTTGGAAGGCGATTGATACCAAGGCGCGGATACATAATCTGGACTACTTATTCTTTCCATTTCATCTGATTGCTCCTACTCACTGAAGCCATTGACGAACTGCTGAGGCCAAAGCCGTCAGTTTACTGAGAGCGATTGCTGACTGCTTGCATTTGTGACATCGCTGCTCTCTGGAACCTGCAGTCAAGGTCAAATACCGCGAGGCATAAGTACTTCAAAATCGATGATGCTCCGTGCGATAGCTACTTAGATGGATGTCAGGCACCTTGCTTGTAAGCTCTTCCCCGTCAAGTCAAGCTAAGGTACTACAGTAAGTAAATAATGCGCTGGTGAGTGCTGTCCATGGGATTGGCCAATGACGGCAGCAGGAGCCGCATTTCACATGCTTTCCCCGGACTTGTGTGGAGGGTACGCCATGCTCCCAAATAGTTTCAGAATGACATCACCCTGCGAGCTTCGGCTTCCCGGTCGTGGGTAAGAGCGCCACCACTTCCCACACCTCCTCAGGTACGAGATAGGTATCCAATTCTTCACGAGACAAATCAAACAATCGGGCACAGGCACGTTCCTAATCCGGCAATTGCAGACCAGGCTTGCTCTCCAATTCCGATTCTGCCACTGTCGACGCCAGGTACTGTACCCAAGGTACCTCTCACCACCTCATCTCCAGGAGCTCTAGGCGTTTGGCTTGTGAGACATCATAGCTCCCATCTCCATCCTTCCCGCGGCCGATATATAGCTCCGAGTACTTAGCTCGGGCGCCCTCTCTCCCTCCCTTTCAACGTTTGATCTTTCCCTCCCCTTTTTGTTGTCTCTGTGCGTTTCCCTGTGACGTTTATCTTTTCCCGCCCACAACTCGAACGTCTGTGTTCTTCTCAAACACAGGATAACAGCACCTCCTGCTCCACCCACGCAAACATCACGAACCGGATTTCACTTGAGCATCGGTGAACTCAACAAGACCAACTGGTCCGTTCAGAAGCTTAAAGTAGACACTCTGCGACTTTCTAGCTCCACACGGCAACTAACGATACGTTTTTTCCGACTTGACGCTGACACGAGCGTAAGATGGATCATCCAGGTATGCAGATGTCACCCATACACATAAACACTCCCGAGAAGACGGCAACGCATCGCTGCCAACACCTGCACCAACCCCGGCTGCAGATCACGGCCTAGGACGCCACCCCCCAAGCCTGCAACCCAACTGCTAAGGACTTTTCAATCTTGAGCCGTTGAGCCCTGTTCCCTTCTTTGTTTCTTCTCGGTCTCCCATGTTAGCTAGACAAATCGAAAATGCCCCCTTACTGACAAACATCCGACTCTAGTCAAGGAGATCAAGACCGTCATCCGGGACCTGGTCCAAGGATCCCCCGAGAAGCAGCAGAACGCCCTCTACTCCAACTTCACCGAGGACGCCTCCTTCACCCACCCATTCTGCCATGTACCGTCCTTTGGCAACATCCAGATCCCGTTCCTCTTCACCATCAACTCGCGTTGGTTGGTCCTCATGATTTACCGCTGGTACCGCATCTTGAGCCCCAATATCGAAATGGAGATTGAGTCTTCTGGTATGTTCTAATGCCTGGCCAGCTATCTCACAGCAGAGAAGCTGTACTGGGGGGCCTTGGTACAAGAGAGTCAAGACATGCTAACCCCCCTTACAGTCCAAGACCAAAAAACAAACTTGCTCTACGTCAAGATGCGCCAAGACTTCCGCCTGTGGTTCGTTCCCTTCTACTCGGCACCCGTCGACTTCGTCGTCGTCCTCCGCCTAGAGACCCGCACAATTGACGCCAACGGCAACCCACTGCCCCGCGGCTACGGTGACGACGCCTCCGTCGGCACCCGCCAGCGCCAGTTCATCGTCAGCCAGGAGGATCACTACCAGGTCGGCGAGTGGCTCAAGTTCATCGCTCCCTTCTTCGGGTACTGGGCCTGGCACGCCTGGACCCTCTTGGCAACGGCGCTGTGCGTTGTCGGCGCCTTCTTTGGATACCCTCTCACCTTGCTCTTCGGACAGATGGCTGGGCCCAACAGTAACGGTAACGGGCAGGAGAGTAAGCGGGAGTAGGATGACGCGGTCGATAATCTGTTCATCTTTTTGGGGGAGCTTGAGGATAACCTAGCACGAGTGGCTGATGAGGTGTCAGAAGAGTCTTAGTATTGGCCGTGCGAGGGTTGAGCCATCTTTGAAGTATGGATAATCGAACTGGCATGGTGTTGGGTTTGTAACATCAGTAAAGACTTGCCGGCACGGAATCGTGTACGTTTTACAACTCATGTTAGGGTATTGAACTTTTGAGCTACGCAGCTATGAGTTTGACTTGATTGTACTTGTTATGCACATCAGCCCATGTAAAAGTAACAACATCCATCGTTGGCCAGTCCAGCCAATGTATAAAGCTGAGCTGTAGTGAAGTAACTCCCCAGGGTAGTTCCCATTCCGACCCGCCTCATCCCATACGACTATAGCACGCCTCACCAGCACCTGCACTCTCTCCTTACCTCGTCGTCCCCTCCTACCGCCTACCTCCCTTCCTCGACCTCCCGAAGGGACCTACTTAAGGGGTCTAGTCACCGTTCCCGTCGCCAGCATAGCAGCACCCGTTCAGGTCGGTGACTTCAGGTCAAGCTGTATGCGGGGTGGTCGAGTTGGTTGGAAATTTTTAAAAAAAAAAGAAATACTCCAGTGAAGTCAGAGTCCGGGTTTGACTGAGGGGCGCGCTGTTCGATCCCGGGCACAGAGGCGTGGAGTTCTACGTTAATTATCCCTCCCACCCTTTCTTTCCTCTCCTTTTTGGTTTTTGCCTGAAAACTAGTTCATGTATTTGGCAGTGAGAGGTTCCCGATTCGACTTTGGTCATGTGTGTTGCTCGATGCTGAGGTATCTCAAACAAACATCACGACACTTGCGGTTAATACAAGGATGAGAAAGAGAGAGAGAGAGAGAGAGAGAAGAAGGCGAATTTAATGTCCTTTTCCTCATTCGGTCCAATACGTTGAAGAACCGACGAGTCTCGCCGGCTCTCATTCCTTAACGCTCACTACTTCATATCTACTTTCCCCCTTTCCCTTCCACTCAACTCGCTTTTCTGGGTATACCAAATCAGACTGCAAGCAACAGATTTTCCTTGCGCCCACGGAACCAGTCTCCCTCCCCCATTCTCCGTCTCAACATGAAACCACTCTCGCCGTTCATTTTTGAGTATGTCCATCCACGCAATATACATCTGAAAGCACCGAGTTTTTCCTTTTTGCGTTGTGATTTGAGAAAGATCTGATCCCCTCCTTTTGCCAATCCGGTTCGTAAATTGTAAAAAAAATAAAAAAAAGGTCTTGCCTGCCATCCCTGCTTCTTCTGATCCGTTGTTCGGGCTGTGTCCGTATCTTTCGTACGGGCATGGTTCGTCACATTATAATATACTGTAAGTCATGAAGCCCGGCTGGCGTCTTCCTCTCTCACACAGAGAGGATATGGCGTGTCCGGCACGGAGGCGTCAACTGGGATTTCTCCCAGAGGCCGCCGGCGTCGTGACCTATACACACACACGCCAGCCCTTCCATTTTTGGCGTTTCCCAGCCGTTTTCGTTTTGTGTTGGTATCATCATAAGGGCTAGTAATGCATTTCTAGCACGGAGGCGTCATCGTGGAATAATCTCTTTCCAAGAGGCCGCCGGCGTCGTGCCATTTTCTCTTTTCTCTTTCTTTCATTTTTGGCTTGTCTCATCCTCTTCACATCCCGTTTCGCCCATTAGCGTTGCCGTTTGGACCCTGCTGCTGATCCGGGGACTGTTGCTGTTGCTGTTGCTGCGCCTGTGACTGCTGCTGTCCTCCAAAGAAGAAGCCGTCGAAAATGTTCATCTGCTGGCCTTCGCTGAAGTCGTGGTGCATGTTATCCCAGTTGATGCCGAATCCTAGGTCAAGCTGCGGCGTTGTCACATCCCCAGATCCACCGAGCTCGCCGTTGGGGTTACCACCCTGCAAACTCTGGAAGAAATCCATAGTCTGGATGTCGGGGTAGTCGGCCACGCCATAAGATGACGACCCTTGCGGTTGCTGTTGATTCAAAAAGGATCCACCGCTGCTGGTTCGCTGATTCGCCACACGACGAGGCACTGGCGGCGAGGCCACGAAAGAAGGGTCGATTTCCGAGGGGCTGCCCTGGCTGGGGGCCATCATATTGAAGTCCGTTGCGCGCGGGGAATGACGTGGTGGGAGGTCACCGGCAACAGAGAGGCTTGGCGACGAGAGGGTATCAGACAGCGCCATGTCCATCTGGAAGTTGCCCTGGCCCGACGACTGGTGTTGCTGGTGGCGACGGCGAGGTGCGACGCTCGCAGTCGATGTCGATGCCCCGTCGCCTGAGGCGGAGCTCCACTCGAATTGTCTCTCACGCATCTTGCGTGGGGGCACCGAGTTGAAGCCGCCGGTCGAGTTGGCCATCTTGATGGTGGCCTTTGCAGTGCGATCAAAGGCGTCTCGGCAGGTCTCAGCGGGTGGGCACTTGTCGATCAGGTCGGTGAAGACAGACTTGGCGGCCAGGATAGTGAAGTCGACTTCGTCCATTGTCTGTATCGTTACACATTAGAGCTTTCTCGATTGATTTCAAAATCAGACGAATCGACTTACCAGTCGGCTTCTGACAATAGGCGAGTGCCAGATGGCGTAGAGGTAGGATATGCCAGCCATGAAAAGATGATGAGTTGACAGATACGTATAGCTGACCAGCCCGCTCAAGTGCAGCTGGCGGTAGATACGCAGAATCTTTTGCCCGGCTTCGGCGACCTTGAGATAGATCCTGTCCTCGTCCTCCCGCAGCTCCGCCTGGAACGCTGTCGGGCTGTTCACTTCGGTGGAGGTGTTGTACTCGCCCTCGAACATGGCGGGCACGCTCAGGCTCTGGCGGTAGAGCATGATGATGGCCTGCCAATAGTTGAGCTCCAAGAATTCGGTCGAAAACGCCACACCCGTCTCCTCCCGCGTCGGCGCTGAGTTCTTCCACTGGTACAACCTGCGGTCGATATCGATGCGCCACGAGCGGAAGGAGTCGAACTTGACGAGAAACGGCGACGGCAGGTGAGTGTGCATGTCCGAGTTGGTTAGGTTCTGGCCCGAGGCCCGCACGACCTGTGTCTGGTTATATTGCAGCACTTGGAGGATCTCGGATTGCAACAACCGCAGTTTGAAGTAATGGTAAGCTACGTGCTTGTAGCTCGGTTCGGATGAGTCGGCAGGCATCTCCAAGAATCCAGTCGATGCGATGTATTGATCATCCAAGAGCGAAGGGAATTCGGTCGTGATGACCTGGTCGCTGATGCCGAATGGTCGTCCGACGCAGGTGCTCACCAGTCGATCCAAAGAGTAGGTGCACCACCAAAGCCTCCGTCTCATGTCGCGGATGTACAGTCGTCGGCCCCTCTCGCGTGACTGGGCGTTCCTTGCTTCGTTGACTTCGCCGTTCTCATCCTTGATTAGATCTCGCATTGCCGGCTCTACGTCGCTTCCGTCTTCGTAGTGCAAGCCAAGATCCACAGCCAAGCGTACAGCAACGCCGATGATGTACCTATCAACATGTCAGCATCACTACTCATAATATGCTCGGCTGGTAAGGGACACAACTCACCATAGACCGGGGGGGACGGGTCGGAGGAGCGCAAAGTTGGCCAACAGCAGCACAGCTTGCAAAACCTCTAACCCACCGCCGCTATTGCCTAGACAAGCCTCAAGATGCACGATGGCGCTCGCATGGTACTCCTCTGGCTGTGCCTGGCCAAACTTGTTCGCATCCGCTGGATTGCGCGGTCCGGCACCCGAGCCTTCGGATTTTACAGGTTCGCCCACAATCACACCGCATCCGATTGCGAAGACCATATTCAGCATGTACAGCTCCCGAGCTCCCTTTGGCCCACTCGGATCAGCGTACGCCTGATCGAACATTTGCATGAACTCCCCTCGGTGCAGAATGGGGATCTGAGGATTCGCGTGCTCAAAGTAGAGGGTCACAAGCCTCATTCCCACGTCCTTGTCAGGGAAGTTCGCTGGCCGGATCGTGGGTTTCGTGTGCAAACCAAAGAAGGAGTCGCGCATAGATGTCCCGCTGCCGATCGGTAAGCCCTTGCCACCAATTCGATCCTGCGTCCCGTTGTGATCCGACACGGAGTATTGCACAGCGGCGAACACTACGCGGTTAAAGGAGACCCCTGAAGCCGACGCTAGTGATCGTGGTTTCGATGGGCTGACTATATCGAGCATTCCCGTACCACCGCTCTCTGCCTTTTTGGCCTTCTCCAAGTCGGGGCGGTGGATGTTATTCTTCGCTGGCCCAGGTCCATCATTGCTCTCGGAGCGTGCCGAGGGAGCAACCTCAGTCGTCGATCTCGCGATCTCGGCGCCGGGACGTGAGCAGAGCTCCAGGTTCTCGGCTGGTGGGAAAGGTATGTTCTGGTTGGCGAGAAGTGCCTCTAGCTGCTCGACGCGGGTTTCTAGGTAGAATACGTAGCTTTACGAGTCACATTATTAGCACGCAGTCAACGATCGAGGTGATAATGCTACTGCGCACACATGCTCGCGCACTGAGTAACTCCAGGCACGGATACGCTACACGGGCAAGTAATTCATACCTTCTGGGAATTTCCTTCTTCGTGATGGGGTCGTAGCCCACGCACGCGACGCCGGCCTTTGCGCAGCTCGCACAACTGGGAAGCTTCTGGTCGCATCTGTTCTTCCGTAGGCGACAGCGGTTGCAGGCGCTCACGTTGCGGAAGTTGCTGCTCTGGCCTGCTTTCCCTCCTCCGCCTCCTCCATTCTTCTCAGCTGAAGTCAGAGCCGCGCCGGCATTGGCCATCGGGTCATTCTGTTCGGCTGCGGACGGGCTCTGATCGATGCCAGCGGAGGGGGGCGGGGAGACGTCGACATCGTAGGAGCCTTGGCGCGGGCGCTTCGTCGGCTTGAGGGTGGGTGATGGCGGTGAATGAGCCGGCATTGTGTAAGGTGAAGGTCTCTTGATCGGACGGTACCAGTCGGCTTTTCGGAGGGAAGAGACGGGGCGGGGAAGGTTGGGACGAGGATAGGGTTGAGATTGAGTTCCGGAGGCGCGGCTACCTGCCAGTCGGGGTGAGCCGGGGGCGGATTATAGAGCCGACTCTAGACGATGTAGAGAGTAGGAGAAACGGGTCGTCCTGTAGACTTCTTTGTGAGCGCAGGTCCCTCGGCCAGGACTGGCGAAAGGTGCGGTCGCGAGAGGGAGTAGAAAGAGGGGAGAGTGAAGGTGGGAAAGGCTGGACGTCGGTGAGGCATACAAAAGTGTCGGAACCAGGCTGTTATCGCGACGCTATCTTGACTTGCACAGTGACAGCTCCACACATCATTCGGCAGTGGACACAGACAGTTGGAAGAAGGGACCTCTTGTCTCGTCTACCCAACCCCAGTGGACTAAGGCGGCGCTAGAGGCAAGGGTCGGTTCTAGGCCGGACAGACGACGAAGAAGATGAGGGGGGTTTCTCTGCAACGGAGTGGCGGCGGGCCTAGGAAAGGCAAAGGCAAAGGCGACCGGGACTGTGAAGGTCACGAAGTATATACAGATTGGCAGGCGAGACCCTTCAGCTGGGATCGCTCTGGATGTTGGAGATCTGACCGAGATTCAGGTCAAGACTGCGCATGTCGAGTCGGTCAGAGAACAGGCGGAGAGCGGACGGCGGAAGATGGCGGCGGCGGCGGGATGGTCACACAAGCGAGAAGCAGAGATAGATAGGCCCAGTAGCTTGTTTGGAGGATGGGAAAAGAGACAAAGTGGTTCAACGGCGGTGGGAATTCCCGCACAAGACAAAGGTCAAGCTACCTCGACAACTCGAGCTGGGGTTGTGGGATATGCGCGGTGGTAGGTGAGCCGTGAAGAAAGAGGCGGGCGGGCTAACTGCGACGTTATGGGGAGGCGGTCGGTGAAATGACAAGAGCACCCCAAACTGTACACAGTAGTAAGGTGAATGGGACGGATAGGCAGGCGCGGGCAGCTTGAGGGACAGAACGCGCTAATCGGAAGGGACCAATCTGCAGCCGGCGATATTGGTTTTCGTTGACCTAAGCACCTTTTTTTTTTTCTTTCCATCCTCCAGCTGATAAGGAATGGCAGGAAGGAGTGTCCATCGCACTCCGCCAATTAGTTTGTGGTGCGCCTGGCACAGAAAGTGGAGGTCTCTGGAGACAGCTGGAAAGTTGAAGGAGTCAAGCCACAGGTGAGAAGTGACTGCGCAACTTACAGCGTTACTCTTCTTCTTCATCATCAACCAACTCCATCTACCTTACTTACGATTCAGCTTGACGGGCCGGACATAGAGCTTGATAAGTAATCAGGCACAAGAGACTGGACACAATCAACAACTAAATCTCTCATTCATCTTCATCTCTGTTGTGCCCCCACTCTCCCCCAAGCCACCACGAGCCCCCAAACGAGAACGAGCGAACAAGACAGCGTACGGTGCCTTACTAAGGAATGCGAATCCTCCCCCTCTGTGAATTTCTCTGGAGTCTGTACGAGTATGCAGACTGTCCGACTGTCTGCCACCCCCCGCACGACGACATAGACCAAGTACACCAATCATCGAGATCCTGGCCGGCAATGCCTCGTTTGGGAATTCCATCCCGCGCTGCCGCATCGGCCTGAGCCTTTTGGCGCGCCCTCGCTTGGCCATGATGGCCGCCGGGTATCAGTTCACCATACCCTTGGAAACCGAGCTAAAAAAGCCAATTGCTTTGCTCTTATTCGAAACTTGGCATTGGTTCCCTTTTTACGAGGGTCCAACTCATCCTCTTACACACCTGTGTGCGTGTGTGCCGCTTTATCAGAACCAGAACCAGAAGGAGAAGGGGTCCCTTATCTATCCGTCGAATCCGGGACCGTTTACGATTGTGGGAGAGCGCCACACCATTAGAAGGTGCCTTCTGCCTCCGTAGGTACCGGCTGCCACCTCTGACTCTCTCGCTAACTTCATCTCTGAATCGTCTTCTTCCCTCTTCCCTTTACAATATCGTGGTGTTGTGACGTCGTTGGGATCATTATCCATACCACCTTACTAATCGAGTTTGAAGTCGCCGCCCACTTCACGACGTGCCCGAGACGGCACTCGAAATACGCAATCGCCATCCGTCGTTTTGAATTGACCAAACCTCAATCTCGCCAAACCAAACCCTCGACGTTGTCATCTACCGTTCACTTGCCCCCAAATAGCAATACCGAGGTCCCCTCGGTTCTCAGAGTCTACCGTATCTCACGTATCCACTCCCCAGCGCCAACGCTCCAGCATAGGCTTAGTATACCTTTGCTAACGGACTGGGATTCTCCAATGCATCACAAGTCACAACCCGTCCGCCGTTATCGATTACTGTAATCTTGATCCCTCTCTTCTGTCACGAGATACAATATTCAAACAGCACTGTTAGCACCCGTCCAATGAGCGATGCCAACGCTGACGACCAACGCGCATGTGAAGACCCCCACAAGTATTTAGCCCAGCTGTCTTACAAGCTAACTCACGATGGCGGCTTCACAAGAGAGCTTCAAGAGAATGGAAACATGACGGTGTTCAAGGCATTCTCCGCCCAACGCCAACCTCTGATTCCGATTTCTTTTCTTCCAAGTCCCCTTTTCTTCTAGTCCCCCTTTCCTCTTACCATCCCGCTGCCACCCCACAAACCCGTTGGGGAGCATCCTACCAAACTGCCTCATCTTTCGGATGAACCAAGGCCGGAAACCCGTAGACAATAGTACAACTAGTGTAGGCGCCTAGGACAAGGTAGTTGTATCATGAGACCGGGATGGGATCCGGGGGAACCGTCCTTCACATGAACCCTGCGAGATTTCATTTCGAGACCATAAACCTTACCCCGGGTTTTTTTCTTCAAAAGACAAAACAAGAAAAAGAACAAAAGAGTAATCACCTGCTTCACACCCCGCGCGAATGTGTCTCACACCCGCAAACCGTTCAATCCCATGTACGAGCATGTACGTCACCAATGTTTCGCTTGGCGCTGGACAGAAACCGCCCGAGAGAGAAGACACCGCGGCCTTCAAACTCACTCATGAGGCAGGCATCTCTGAAGTACATGAGTGGTAGGCAAGCCATTGAGGCTTGTCATTTATGGCTGGGTTTGTTAATTCTCACGGTTATCATCACGGCTGCAATCGATCGTTCATCAAAATGTGCCAAAAATGTTTGTCAAGTAGGGGTTGTTCTCCCATCAATTCTCTAAGAAATAAGCCATCATTAAAACATCAAGAGCAATTAGACCTTTGCAAGTCTTCACAGGCCCCCATAGAACAAATCGAGTTTCCCGCCAGAAGAGAAAAGTTCCCTTCTTGCCAAGACCCTCCCCGCTCCTCCGCTTCTCTTTCCTCAGGTTGGTTTGGTACGTCCGGTCCTCTGTGGTATTCCCCAAATAAATGCCATTCGCTTTTTTCTCTTTGTTGCGCCCTTTGCGGTTTCCCTGTCTTCTGTCTCCTGTCTCTTTCCAGTGTCGGCTGTTCCCTTGGGCTTCCATGGTATCTCCAACTCCTTGTCCAATAGAACGATCCGTATACAAAAACAAATGGTCGAGGATGGTCGCCTGACCCGATACATGATGTGATGTTGAGCGCCCCCTAAAGATTTGATAAAGAAGTCGAAACGAACAAGAATTGAAATCCAGTCATGCAGCCCGCTGATGGAAATGGTCGAAATAAAACAAGTAACAAGTCGTGAGATTTCCGTATGTGCTCTCTCCTCGGCCCGTCCGAATTAAATCGTGTGATGTTAATAACTCTTTTCTCTGATTCCTTCCGTCGTGTCCCGTGAGCGATAGTCTATGTCTTGTTGTGGTCCCTTCCTGTCGATAATAACGCCGTAGGATGAAAACTCCGATTGTTGAATGATGATAAAAATAAAATAGTGCAAATCCCATGGCGCCTTTCCGGGGTATCGAAATTGGGGGATAAGGTAGTCAACGTATGTGATCATGGTGGTGATCACGATCTCCGGCTGGGGCCGGCCTCAACCTCGTGCTCGTCGTCGTCCAGGGGAACTAGCAGACCCTCAATCTCGGTGGGTTCCACTGCCGTCTCGATATCTCTGACAGGCTCGTCCAAGCGTCCACGGGGTTCGGTGAGGTGCATGCTGAGGAAGGCACCGAAAATGGTAATGGCACCGCTGGTCCACCAAGCAAGCCCGGAGTAGCCGGTTCGAATACCAAGAGTGTAAAGGAAGCCCGAGATGGTCGGCCCGAACGCTCTGCACAAGCTCGCTGTCGAGGCAGCAACGCCGTTGATGGTTCCGAGGGACATGAGGCTCGGTGCCGAGTTTGTGAGCAAGATCGCATTGCTGGGGTAGGCCATGGTCGAGAAGGTGCACTTCCAGATAACCATGATATAAATGCCGATGATTCGCAAGTTCTCAGGCAACAGAGCTAGGTAGGGTGTCGTCAGGTAGAGCAAAAAGTACGAAATGGCCAATAGTCTGAATAGCCGGAGAGGACCGAGGCGTCTGGTAACCCATGGGAAGATGAAGACCGTCGAGATCATGGAGTAGACACCCTGAACCGCGAGAATGATGCCAATGGACTTGGTCTCCATCGAGAAGCCGCCGGGGAACTTGAAAGGAAGGTGAACATCCGGGTGCTCGCGAGGCGTGGTGCTGAGGAAGACGGGGAACAGTTGATCAAAGGTCATGGTGTGGCTGGTAGGAGTGTAAGCATGCTGATAAGAGTCTCAGAGTGAAGAGCAATGACTTACAAGGCCAGGATACCGTAGGAGATGATGTTCAAGATGACAGGTCTGGTAAAGATCACCTTGGGCGGCTCAGCAATTTCGTCAATGATTGATGCCTCTGTGAGGTCCAGAGTCTCGGTCGGCTCGGGGATAGTAGACTCGGATCCCACAAGTTGGGGAGAGCTCTCGTTCGTGCGGTAGCCGGGGAGCTCATCATCGTCGAGGAGTGCCTGCTTCTCCGCCTTCCGCGCAGGGATTTGGCAGCTCTTGGCCGACACCCACGAGATGATGCGCTTTCCCAACTCCACACCGGGATCTCTTCTCTTCTTGCGCTCAGCGTGGGTTTCTTCCAGAAAGAGCAGACCGATAACAACTCCGCAGAAGACAGTGGCGGCGCTGAAAAGATTGGGCAGGAGGAAAGGGTACTGGTCCCAGATCGAGCCCGCTTTGAAGTACTGCGGGTAACTTTGAACAGGCTCGGCGAGTAAGCCACCAAGAGCAGGTCCGACAATTGAGCTGCGCAAAGTCAGACACTAGTCAATGAACTCTGGCGAGTCGCGTAGTAGGGGTACGCTCGCCACAAACTCAACTTACCCAAGACACCAAACTAGGGGCATAATAGTGTATGCGCGGGCTACAGAGAGTTAGCTTATCACCTGTAACCGGGGAAGACTTCCGAACATACGCTGATGCTCCTTGACCGTAACCAACTCCGCGACAGTCGTTTGCAGGACACCAATGTTTCTTTGCCAAAGTCAGCCGAAGGTCAATTTGTCAGTGGGCTGGCTGCATGGACTCGACATACCCGTTCAACAGACCACCGAGAGCTCGTGCAATGAGTGCAACCGTCAAGTTGGGGGCAAATCCGAAAACCATAGAGCTTAAAGCCGTGCCAAAGAGGCCCATCAAGAGGACAGGCTTGCGACCAATCTTGTCGCTCAGTCTTCCCCAAACGACTCCTGTCGAAAACTCGGCCAAAGTGAATGCGGACGTGATCATGCCGGCGTAGACGGAAATCTTGCTCTTGTCTTCGGTGATGTTGAAGTGTTCGACCATCTTATAGACGTAGGGGAAGATGGACATGAACGCAATCGGTTCGCATATTCTGCAGAGCGCTGGTTGAAGAGCGTGTTAGCGGGCATCCTGCGGTGAGCCCATCTAAGAACGCTGGATGAGGATATGCATACCGAGAACAAACATCTGTGTCGTGGGAAAGGGCGGAAGCTTGGACTTCATGCTCCCTGAGGAGCCGCCTCGACGGCCTCCCGTCATGTAGCCGGTCCTCTTCATCTTGGTTGATCCTCGGTGTATGCGCAGTTGGCAGGCTGGATGTTGTGTGAGGCGCAAAGAGATTCGGTAGGCGGTTGGAAAGATTTCTGATCAAGGGATGGGTGGGCGATGTTGCAATATATAGCACTGCAGTTCCTGTAACGTCTTCGGTGGGCTCAAGAATCGAGGGAGAAAAACGGTATCGTGGAGCTGGTGGTCCAGATTGGTGTGGGCAAGAATTTGTTTTGCTAGTCTCGTGGAAGGGAGGAAAGCGTGTTGATGCTCGAGACTGATGATGTAACCATGAAAAGCAACGGTGGAAAAGCAAAGATAAAACAAGCAGAGCGAGACCAGAGCTATTCAGGCAGCGTGGCGGGATGGTTACCTTATGAAAGAAAGTATCAGATGGGACAGAAGGTAGCAAGTTCTGGGGAAGCAAGCAACTTAATATGAAGGGAGCGCGGACGGTGACGATGAGAGGACCAAGAGACGTCAAAGCCCAGGGCCACCCCAGACACAGACCAGACCCAGCTGGGGGACAGGCCACCGGGACCGTACCATTGCCTGGGTCGCGGAAGCAAAAAAATTTGGATCTAAGATTGGAACGGCGGTGACCATGGACCATGGCATGTCCAGCGCAAAAAAGAAACAAGACGATCCTCCCACTTGTCCACCGGGGAGGGATTCAGGGAGATGCGGCGGCGAAAGGTCCCACGTCGTGGGAAGGGATCCAACTGCCCGGCATGACGGCCGTGGGGCCTGAGAAGCCCTGTACCTGATCCAGGGGTACCCCCCCAGACAAGACTCGGTGGGCTTTTTTCTCCATACATGCGCAGTCGGGGGGTGTGTGAGTGTGCATGTGTGTGCGTGCGGCGCGGCGTGCCCCCTTACCCATGTCGAGATGACGGTCCCAAGGCCATGAGTGTTCGCCTTACGACTGTGGGTAAGTGTAAGTCGGTACGTCCACGGCTCGGCCACTACCTACGCGACGGGTACTACCCGGATGAGATTCCCTAGACGCAATCCGTTGTTAGCAGCTCAGTGGTGTCAAGGAGAGGATGGGGTTCGGAGCGAGCGGATACGTGGGTGTGGGTGTGGGTGGAAGGGAGACTTAGAGAGAGAGAGACACGCACATCACACACACATACACAAAGTGAAAGAGCCGTGAGAGGAAGAGAGCGAGTGAGTGTGAGAGAGCGTAGGTATCCGAAAGGTACGAGAGTACTTCCCTTGACCGGACGAAGAGAGTACGTACTCAAGCAGACCGACATGGACGGAGTAGGAAAAGTAGGCAAGGGGTGGTAGACTCGGGGAAGAATGGCGCCAGACCGGAGGGCAGGGATCAACAGAGGAAAAAAAAGGTTTCACAAGAGGCAACGAGGCTAGAGCCTCGATGGGACTGGGCTGGATTTGGGAGAGGGAGACTTTTTGGAGCAAATGGAGCCAACTCGGAATTGGGGTGTGGGTAGTTGCAGGGCGCCAGAAATAAGAAAAGCAAAAGAAAATTAGCCAACCGACGCAACAGGTTACAGCAGGACAAGGAAACGAAAGCCAACATTTACCTGCACTTTCGTCGATGGCCGCTGTGTAGCGACTACGCGTCCATCAAGTGCCCGTCACTCTCTTCTGCCCCATATCGCAGCGCAGCGCAGCGCAGCGCAGCGCAGCGCAGCGCATCGCATCGCAGCGCAATGCCAAAAAGCCTGTGATGCGCAACGCAGCGGCATCTGCCCCGTCCCGATCCCGGTCCCTTGCTCCCATCTCGCCTTGTCTGCCCTGGTGGCAACTACATCGTGAGGTGTACGGAGTACCATAGTAGGTATTGGTGTACGGATAGCCTTAGACACAATGTGCTTGTCTCGGAAAGTCAAGCTCAAATAACCACCCGGGTTTCGGGCTTCATCCACCAGCATGTAACAGCCTTGGGTTCTTCCGCTGTGTCTGTCCAGACCATTCTCAATCTGTATGCTGTGCTTTAAATACTAGAACCATGCGCACTGTCATTGTGGTATGGTGCCCTTCTGTCAAACCTCTTTCGATGGGTAGCGAGACGAGCATCTCGACACTGTAGTGTTGTTTCCCGGCCTTCCTTCCATGGGCGGACGAGAAGACGAGATGATGTATCTTGTCTGCGATGTGAGGCACGCAAGGTGTAAGGTGTGTACTTACAGCCCAAGGTTCAAACCCCCGGCACTTGGGTCGCATGGCTGGCTTTGTTGTAGGCTGTAGCCAGGGGGGGGGGGGTCGACATTGGATTGTTGGATGAAAGCGACAAACCACCGACTGAGGGCTGGTCAAACGCTAGTTGACTGTATTGTCGAGGGAGGGCGACATGGGGAAAAAACCCAGGCTGTCCCTGTGGCTCAGTAATAGACCGCCTCCTTAGCAGGGTGAACTAATCCTGTTCCCCGCGCTGCCTGTGCCTGATCTTTTGCGGTGAGCGGCAGTACAAATACAAGACGTTAGCTTTGCAGCCTTTTGATTGGGACATCAGGGGTGAGCTTCCATTACGGATCATCCTGAATATTCCTCTGGAGCTTTCCCTGACTCCCTATTGTTGGGCAAACTGAGGTGGGACGCGGGTATGCTTCCTGTCGCACGCGGAGCTTATCACGCCCCAGAGAGCCTGCATCAGAGCGCCGAGGATCTGAGCAACAAGGCCGGGCTGATAGAACCACCTCGTCGTCCGCTTTTGTGAGGCGGTGAATGAAAGAAAGCAGGACCAGGGCCGCGGAGTGTCCCTCCCGGCGGATATCGACACCTGTTGCGCCAGCGTCGTCGGCCTTGAGCTGTTCGAAGGAAAAGAAGCCGGTGCTGTTACGGCTTCCCGCTGCCGCTGCCGCCGCACACTGACTCGGAGCCTCTCTGCCGGATTTCTGGAATCAGGACGTAGGGGCTTGTGTAGATAGACTCGCAACTCGCTCACCTTGGTAGTAAGAATACGCGTCGCTAGATACACAACGTACGGCCTCGTAGATGTGTTTGCCTCGGCGTCCTGCTGAATACGAGAGAGCATCCATAGTCACACAGTACTGGTGCTTGCAGCGGCCGTATGCGATTGTGGAGAGGCGCCTCTCAAAGGTCGCACAGCTCTATCGGCCGAGACGTGTTTCCGCCTGTGACTGTAAACCAAGGTAGCGTCGATGGGGGTATGTGCCGTGACGTCTGAAGACGGCGACCCCTCAAGACTGCCGCAGCTTGCTTGCTCAAGCGCCCAGCGTACGGCTCGAGGTCCTGTTGGTCGTATGCACCCTAACCACGACAGCTTCCGATTGGAATGACAACAGCACACTTTTTTTTTTTGAGCGCGAGCGGTTGATTTAGGGACCCCCTCTTCAACGGTGTAGAGGTTGTAAGGCGGCCGGACACCCAAGCGAACCGACTCAGGCGGTGCAATGCAAGCCCAACCTGAGTCTCCCATCCGTCCCTTTAACTATCCCCTCTTTCAAAGAGTCATATCGTGACATGTCGGCATCTTACTTGCGCACACCTGGTCACTTGACGATGCATCTTACTCCGCAGCAAAGAGGGTTGTGTTGCGCTGGCAAACAGTCAGCCTGTTTGCTTGCTGTCCTGTTCAATGATATCGCGTTGCCCCGGTTCAGACTCTCGGCAGGCGTTTCCGCATCCTGGATTTGCCCACTCGACCGACACGTCGGCACCCGGAGGATAGACTGATAGGATCGGTGGACTCACGTGCTTGTTGTAGTGCACCGTACTATCCTGTACGGATTCGTGACTGAGTGTTGACGTTGGCCTGGCCTGTAGGTACGAGTAGTCGAGTACTCCGTACCACAATTGCAGCCCTCGATTGTTCCCACAGCATGGGGCAGCACGAAATAGCCCTGGTGTCACCTTGATTAACAGCGACAAGTGGGCGATGGAGACGAACCAACGGACTGGGCCAGCATGGGCTGGGTAGGTACGAATATCCATAGACCAGGCCGCAGTGTTGGCCCGACTCCAGAGGCATCCGTTGTGTCGGTGAAGTTGTAAACACGAGCCGACAAATGAAGCAACCGGGGTTGTGATGAATGGAAAAAGTCTTTTTTCTTCTTTGACAAGGGTTAAGGAACCCTGGTCGTTGGCCGTCATTTCTCTGGCCCTGCTCGCAGAATCCTCACTGATAGATCTCGCATTCCCAGCCACTCTAGCCGGACAGGCTATTGAGGCAAGACGAGGCTGTTTGATTGTCGCTCTGGGTGACTGCCGCAGTTCATCACTTCGACTGCTTTTCTTCCTAATGCTTCATAGGGGTCTTGGTCTGCTCGGCATCTTGCAGGAGCGCTCGGACGCAGTGGTCACAACTCGTTGATTAAATAGCTTGTTTGGGCGTCGCGGAAGCCGGGACGGTAGGTGATAGTCAGGAGTGTGCTGCTTGCCAACTTGCCACTCCCATTATTGAAGATCCATCTGACAAGGTCAAGGGGCTGAAGGTCAGCGCAAAGTTTGAGAGACGCGGAAAATGAGGGCGTCCGTTGGCGAGAATTGCAGGCTAGGTCTCGAGCTTGGGCACAGCGGGCTGGTTTCGAGCCAAGTGCCTGAGTGTCCTACAGATACACAGTAATTAGTGTATTCGTACGCATAGAGCAGAGTCCCTTCTTCTTCCCCCTTTCCCCCGTCATCACCGCAGCTTTCCACTGCTGAGCCCAGAACCGAGGTCTACCCCAGTTTGCAGGACATGAGTCTCCGTACAAATATAGTGGATTGATGACGGCTGGTCCCTGTCCAAAACCATGTGGCATGGCTGGTATTCTTCCCCGAGCTGCATCATTGTGCCCAAAATCTTCCTCCACCACGGGATAGGTGAGGGCGGGCAACTTACTTGGGACGCGGGTGCACTCTAGTTGCAGCGGGCAACACTTCGGTAACCCTATGCGAAGAGGATGCTTGTTGCGATGGACGATCTTCTCGTGGCGTTGGGAACTACCCGTGTTCAGTGAGGAATTATCGGCTTGCCCTGAAAACACCAGCGCAATTGTACCAGCCGTGTCATGCCCACTGCCGGGGCTCTTGGGACCGGAAGCCGGAATACCTCTTCCCTCAATCCATTTCCGGAAACAGAGTTTGCCATTGTCTGCGATCTCGCGCTGCGCAGAGGTGTGCCGCGCTGGGCAGGTTTGTTGCAGCGGCGTGGGACTGTTTCCATCTTGCCTTACTGCTCTCCTCCAAACAAAGCGTGACCGGATAGCATCCGCGCTTTCGCCGTTGGTAAACCCAGAACAACCCTGGCTCAAGGTTGCCATAGCTCTGGCGGCAACTGTTATCGTGCAATTTGCGAGTGATGTCGACCGCCGAAGAAGAAAGCTGAGCCTGGAGCACCTGTACTGAGCTACCACGAGCACCAACAAAAGTCGGCCCGCAAAACGAAATGGCGGTGATCCCCTCCAAGGTACATCGCAATCAGGGAAATTGGCTTTCGTTTCCACGCTAGGTCAGGGGTACCCAGTATCGAATCCCAGTAAAGCGTCCAAGCACCCCCATACAACCGTTCCTCTGGGCCCTGATCGGGCGAGTGCCGGAACTGGTGCCGAAACGCCAGGTAGCTGGTTCTGAGAATGTATCAGTGCAAAAGTACCGTTTTGTATCCTCTCGTTCTCTCCTCACCGGTCCCGTTTTTTCCGTGGCCCTCCGTCGCCGACTATCATCATATCCATCTTTCAACAGGAAATTTCTCTCCGTCATCGACAGGAAACGGCAAGGAGAATATTCGCTGCGGAGAGCGCCTAGTGACTCGCCTCTCCCCTACATAGAAGAGCCGCAGACCAAGGAGAAAATGCGATGGATGGCTGCATCTTGTCCCGTGCATGCTTCATCAGTAGAATGCAGTTCGTGGAGCTCGTTGAAAGCTGTGGCCAAACAGACTTCCGGTCCGGGGAACAGGGCGACTAGCTACAGCCAGGGGGGTCAATACATGTATGTAGGTATGTCATGCAGGTGATGCTCAACTAGACCTCCAAAGTTCGACCAGATGTTGGCAGCTTTCTACCAAAACTTTGACGACGTTAATCGATGAGGCAGCCTAATCGCCCAAACTCTATCGGCTTCCTTCAAGCAGTTGTGATGGATTCACCACCGCAATGGAGTGCCGGTGGATAGTTCTCTTCCGGACGAATTAATACTGGACAATTGTGTCTTCAATCCGGGGTCCTATGAGATGCGACAGCCCGTTTAGCATCCTGATCTCAACAGATAGCATCATGTCCCACTTGTAAGTGAAGACAATACTCCGTAGACAACAAATTTTCCGGGGTCCGGTGCGCCATAACTTGTCATTTTCGAGATCGTACGACAAACAGCTTGCTCATCTTACTAGCATCCGTACCACATCCTTAGAGTTGGCACTGCACTCGCTGGTCTGGAGCGAAAAGCACTACCGACGAGCTTGTTGCAAACTTGTCCGAGCGGCCAACGGTATAGGTACGAAAAAGTACGCACCCTCGCTCTTACGCAATGTTCTCTAGACCCGGATGACCGGATCTCAGGGGTAGTGGAAAGTCTCCTAGCCCTTCGCCACGCGGCGCTTGGCGACCCATCAAAGGGGAGCAGCCGAATGGCTGGGGATGTGCTCCCAGTTCTCCCTTGACCGAGCCTAGCTAAATCCGCGTGTAGGCGGGATCCAGAAAAGGGGTGGTTCACTTCCGATGGGACGGCCGGTTTGGAATTGTACAACCACATGACCTGTCAACGTCAGGAACGGGGCTCGCTAGTTGAAGCCAGGTCAGGATGAGTCCCTGCTTGAAAGGCTGATCATAGAACCTTGACTCCTCGTCGTCGGTTTCAGAATCATCTTCGGTCTTGCCGGGGAGGGATCCTGGTGGCCACCATTTCGTCTCCATGTTGATGCTTCGAATTCTTCTGTGGATCCTTTGGAGCTTCTCTGCCACTTCCTAAATGAGGTTGAGTGGGTTTTAAACAGTCACCCACTGCGTACGAATATTGCCGCCCTCGGTCCACAGGGATGGTGCGGTATATTGTGTACGGAGTACGGATAGTTGGCGAGACGGTGAGAAAGGCAACGAGGCAATTCTCGGGCGTTTTGGGTGCAGCCTGCGTGGTCGGCAGGCCGATTATCTGCAGTTTGCCCAATAACAGCCAGCGGCTAGCTTGATAATGAACATCGTAAATGGGTTGAGATGAGTGTATTGCATTGTTGATCATAATACGAGCGAATTCACGTAGGTTCTCTCCTGGCTCGACTGTTAAGCGCTGGGCAGCAACTTGCAGTCCGGTTGGGTGGAAAGCCCCGCGCACGCGGAGGTGACGACAACGTAAAAGACCTGCCGACCAGCGCTCTGGAAGTTTCCTCACCCCCGGCGGTATCATCTCGTGCTGGCGGCGCTGGACCTGTCGTCTGGGTTGCTGGGTACGGGTACTCCTGGGATCCCGGGTTGAGTGGGGGAGGATAGCAGGGGTTGCTCCCAAGAAACCCAACGGCCGGGTTGATTGCGAGGAGCACTTTCAGGGTCAAACAAGCCCGTGGTTTGCAGCAAATTTGTCCAGCACGGGGGAGTATGTCCGCTTGCCGGACGAATCGTAAGACCGCATTTCCCACGGTGATCACTTCGCGTAAAGGCGAGACGACTTCCAAGTCGGAGAGGCGGCGCGAGCACGAGCGGAGCCCCAAGCTTTGTTGCGTAAGGCATCCGTATCCTCAGAGGACGGAAGCATGCCACGATGTGGTGTCTTGTCCTTCCCGTCCCAATTGACTGGAAACTGCGGGCTGCATGTATCAATGCTTGCATCGAGGTCATGCTGTACGCTGTGCGCGGCGAAGCGGGCACAGCGGACACAGCGGGTAGACGATGCTGGAGGCTGGAGCAGGCGGCTGCTGCAACCTGGGGGTTATGTCTTTGGGTGTAAGTGTTGCGTAGGAAGTGCGTAAGTTACAGGTGCGTTTGTATCAGCTGTCGCGTTGGACTCTGAGCTTTGCAGGTAGGTCGTGCTCCAAATGGGGCCTGATGGCTTGATTGATGGGCAGTCAAGGTCGGCATGTCTCAGTCCTGACAGGCTGTCTTGTCTGTGTTCTCTGTCATGTCAGTTGTCGTCGATCCGGAGGGTCTGTCTCAGTTGTGTCGATTGGCGATTGACTTTCTTGGGTCAACAACCAGGCGGCCACTGAGGGGTGCGGGCCGATAAGAATCGGTCAAGAGACTCAAGACTTGAGCATGAAGAAATGGCTCCAACTACAGCGGTATGGATACCCATCGACTTTGGTTTCGCCCAGTGGTCGGCAGGTGAGATGTGGGTGGCATAGTCTGAGGCGGTGGTGGGAGAATGCTGCTGGGCGAAAAGGAAATCGATGAGCGGAAAAAGGAAGCATACGTCCAAGGGTGAGATTGGCGGTGGGCGTGATGCGCGAGGAATGATGTAGGGTTGACCGAGACTGACAACGTTGCTTTTTCCGCTCTGGCAACCTAGCAAGCCGCCTTGCGGGCCAAGATGTTCTCTTCTCTCCGCCTCAACTACTTCCTTTTTCCTCCGCTCTGCGACCCGCCCGCCTTTGTCGTGCCGTTTGGTTTTCTGATTCTGTTGCATAACAAGACTTCGTTCCCTTCTTAGCCATGGTTGTCGATCCGAGATACGTCTCTTTGGGGTCCCGAACTTGGATGCAGTCGGTGAGGCAACGGGCTCGACAAGGACGGGAGTATCGGGGTAGACTCTAGGAACCAGCCGTACGCACGTAACGTCCCGTCCTGAATCCTTGACTGGTCTTTTTCTGCCTGGACGGTGGACCTGCCACTTACACGTTTCTTCTTGTGGGCAGGAAGCTCACAAACTTAGACACGCAGACAATAGAACATGCAGATACGCAAGCGTAGCTGATCTGGAGCTGGTAATGGCTGGGTCGTGGTTTTCTCGAGTGCAGCAGCACCTGCCCATGACAGTGAATCTGCACAAACACACCTGCCTGAGATTAGGAAAAACACCAATAGCCACGCAGCGCATCTTGCCTCGCATGTATGGGATCATGCTGCGCGAAGCAGAAGGAAGGCACGTTGTATGCGAAGATCGCGGGTCGTTGAGGCCATGTGCCTTTGGAAAAAGCAAGGAGCACGAAAAAAGGGAAGCAGAGGTCAGAGTCTCATTCCATGTTCGGCTGAGGTGCGGATACCTTTGGTGCGGTAAAGGTACCCAGCCTGGGAGGATGTACCATCCCTTCCTTCCCACCCGAGTGAGTCTTCCAGTCCTTCGAGGCTTTCCCCAAGATCCCGTGCCATCTTACCTAAGACATGGGGTACTGGGTACGTCGGTGTAAGTGGACAAGGCAGGCACGAAGCACTTGGAAAGGTATCCAGGTACGGAGTGACACGCGAATACTTCGACTCAACTCACCTAACCTCACTTTCAATCCCAAAGATGATTTTGACCGCATAGCCTTGTTCAAAGGCGTCCTGCGTGTTTCGATTCTGACCCTTCAGCCGTTTGCTGTTCTGCGCATGCGATCAATGCCTTAGTACAACACCACAGGTGCCCCCAGTTTCCAGCATGAACTACATGGGAAGACGCAGCCGAGGACGGGAATGTTTGTCGGCAATCTTCTACTAACGCGGACCCAAGCTAACGTTGGCTTTGGTGCAGCTTGCGAATGCCCTCAATGGGATCCACCCTCAGTCGGGATTCTTTACCAATCCTCAATCCTCCCCGACATTCGATCTGCCTTCCGACTCTCGCCTTCCTGCAGCTTACCGCCTCATCTCGATGCCTTAAGATGCTCAAAAATGAAAGAAAGGAAAAAACAATGCAGTGGACATCAGTTTGCTGCAGGAGACGGCTGCCTTCTTCCCTGTCCTGCAGTCGTTCGCTCTTCTTTCCCATGCTTCTGCCAAGATGGGCACTTGCTTGTCATCCCTACATTGGCCAGCTGTTCGGCAAAAGTCAGTAAGCTGAGACCTCTGTCCTGCCAGGTAACTCGTGATCTGCGTCTGTCATATCACGAACTAATGTCTCGCAGAGCATCACCTGATCAGTCTTCCTTCTTGGGCCGCAGCATCAAGCATGCCGCCGCATGCCGCATGTCGTTCTCCGCCTACCGCCTCGCTGGCCCGTCATTCTCTCGCGATACCTGCAAGACCTGCAAGGGGACCTTCAGTGACCGTCAACTCGTTGTGTTGATACTACCCAATCCCCTCCTCGGCCACCTTTACTCGCCCACTCTCGCCTGCCAGCTAGCCAATCTGCACGACCGTCACTGTGCGTGCCCCAAGCACATCAATCCATTCGAACCGAAAACCGGCCGTTGATCCAAGTATCCTCACGCCCAGAGTCGCATCTCATCCCGCACTCCATTGCATACGGCCTGAGCTAAGCTGTTCATCCCTTGATTTGATCACGCTATCATACGCCTTATCCTTGAAGTGAGTATCCGGTATCCCTGCACTCACCCCCGGCATCCGTCTGCATCGACGGCAGCAGTTAAGCCAAACTTCGAGCTACAGCATACTGGCAACATGGCATTTTGGCCCCCATTCTCGACTGCTTGCTGGCTGGCTTGCTGATTAAAGGTCACGCTACCTCGACAAACAACGCCAAGACCACCCCGTCACCCACCAGTATGCATCATGTCCATCACCGTCGAGCCGCTCACACAAAAGGAACGCTTAAGGGACGGCTCGCATTCAGGCGTTGAGCTGCGAGATACCTCTTCTGGGGTCTTCTGCCGCCGCTTTCAGATGTTCTAAACTGGATGCACGAAGGCGCTTGTCTCAATTAACACCATCACTTCCGACATGGTACCATTTCGCATCGTGGCACCCTTCCACTTGCTACCCAATAGTCTCACATTATGCTAGTCACTTTGCTTCCTTGAGGCGTAAGCAACTGTCTCCTGTTTCGACTCGATCTGCTGGCTCTTCATCAGATCATGTTACGATCTGCCCTTTTTCAGGGCATACAGACGACGCCCAGGCCCCCGTCTTGAGGAGCGCAATTGCTATGTCTACTAGGCTGGTTTGCCCACCGAAGAGCCACGAATTCCGAGCCTAGTAACTTTCGCAAACCTCGCCCGAATGTAGGCAACCCTTGCAGTGCCACTCTGGGCCAGGATTGAGCTTCTTCAATAAGGGCGCCGGTGCTTTCTAGATGACTGAGTCATCTTCCTGTCCCAACATCTGGCAACAAAATGTCAACATCGTGGGATGTATCTTTTGATGCGGCCAAGCAATCTGCTGCTGCCGTTAGCATAGTTTTCGTCTGCAGCACTGATTACTACCCACTTCTATGGGGCGGCCCGATGCCGTCCACGACAAGTTCCCGCTTCAAAAACGCCCTAACCCTGGAGCACACTTTCAAAATCTGAGCAGTGACGAAGTTCCGCCATGGATATGCGCCGGAAAGGACGGGGATTCCACGATCCAGGCCCCTTCCTTACTGACTCGTTTCGAGTATCCCCGGTGGCACAATTGGCTAGCGCGTCAGACTGTTAATCTGGAGGTTCGTGGTTCGAGCCCACGCCGGGGAGTTACTATGGTTTGACTCCATTATAGAAGGGTTGGCTTACATCTTTTTCACGAAACCTTTTTGCCGCCTGCTTACTTCAATATTCGAGCTGGGGTATGTACGAATTGGATGCACCTCATCCCCTTGAAGTGATGTGTTTCGTTAACTACAAGCTAGGCACACTCTTGAGCTCACGACGAGTTTGGCCTTCTTTTTTTAATCAAAAAAGAAAAGAACCTTCGTGACATCTCGAGTATACCTTGAGTGTAAGACGATTGGTTAGATGTACGTGTCTGTCCTCGTAGCTGTATCAGCTAACTCCTCAGTGCAGATATACATGGCGTATGAATTTCAGCTTCTTAACTACCGTAATGCAGGGTCTGCTGAGTGCTCATCTGCTGAAGGAGCGCGAGCCTTGTCTTGTGAGCGACCTTGGAAAAGGAAATGAATTATGTTGTTGACCATACCCCCGGGCATCCACTGATCCTGGCTAGGTGGCCTTCGCCGCAAACCTTTCATGCCTTTGAGCCCTGGCGTTACACTCTTCGAACGTTTGCTTTTTGCTCCTTATAGCTGATGATTGGAGTCTGCGCGACTGTCGGCTCAGGAATCCTTGCTCGGACACACGAAAGAGGAACAAGTAGTCCGTACTCACCTTCGGTCAGTCGACTCACCGGCTCGGTAGGTCGCCAGAAACAGGGTTCACTTTGTCTACCTAGGAAAGGGGGTGCTTCTCCACCGCAGAATCACTAGGCTGGAAGCCTTAAAGCTTGACTCCCACATTGGGTTCTGCGCGCGCGCCCCCCTGGTAAGTTTTCCCCGTAATCGATATGTGACATGTCACTTACCAACTCGTTACAGCCCTGTAGATCTCTCACCGCCTGCAAGCCCATCTCTTTTCTTACATTGACACCGTGAGCTGGGAGTTTGCAAGGATGGCCTACGCCAGAGCCAGCAGGACGAGCAAGGGAACTTGGCATCCTAGCCTGCTCCCCAGGAGCGGAATTTCCGGGCTCAAACTATATCCTAACAGGGCTCGAAGGTCAAATTCTCATTCCACACGTGCTTCTTGGTTCCGTCAGTCCGCGAGTGTACAGATATGGAGACGTTCAAAGACTATTCTTCGAGCCTGGCAGGCGATGTCAAGCGCCTGGGCAAAGGATGGTGTCACGTCATACGACTGTTGTCACGACCAGACGTTGTGTAATGACCCCCGCAGGCTGCCCGGGTAAGAGCAACAAACCTGGCTAAGGTCGCCTTGCTCTCCCAACCTGGCATCCGTGCTTGACCTTGGAAACTCCAAATGGGTGGCTAGTTGCCCTTGAGCACCCCCATGGTCGACTAGGGGTCCGGGGCGTCCGGATGCCTCTGTGCTCAATACTTCATGGGAAACAACAAGGTGACGTTACGGTTGCTGCGATACGTGGCTGCCATGGGTCCCACTCCAGGTCCTAGAGCCAGTGATTACTTGCTTACACCGCTGATTAGACCGCAGCAAAACTCATCATCAACCCAGGGAACCGTGAGCCTCATTACGGTTGACGACGTTCTGAACCCTGCTCAAAGGGGTGGTTCGCCCGTTGACTCACCGAAGTTCAGATCAAGGCATGTGCCACGGTTGGTCAGCCCTAGACAACAGACCTTGACGGGCCGGGCCATGGAAGCTTTGGAGCCACCCTTCACAAGGCTCAGGGGTGAAAGTGTTTGAAATTATCCGAGACTATTCTGGAACTTCTGCTCCGTACCGACAGGAATCTTATTCTGCCCCCCCGGGTGTTGAAGGTCGTGGAGTCTTTGTCAGGCGCTCTTCCGTGTGGTCAATCATCGACACAGCACCACAACACCGCGGACACGTCAGAGCGGAGGACTGACGTGGACACAAGGAGCCGTGGAATATTGACAACCCTGGATACAAAGACACGCGGCATAATAGCACTGACGGAAGACACCTGAAATGGACTTGAAGATGTGTGATGGCGAGCTGGACCGTCTTTTGCATCCTCAAGAACTGAGTCGCATTTGTTTCTGCTTGCGCTCTGGTATACTCCTACTCGCTCTGTTTTCCTATTTTGTCAGAGAACAAAAGTCTACAACGGAAGTCTCAGAGGATTAACTGTACAGCGTTCAAAAAGCAACCTAGGCCGTGTAGACTGGCTCTTTTGTGTACTTCATCGCTCACTGTGGCATATATCTCGCCGAGAATAACATTGGGTGCGCCTTCGGTAACCATCGGCCTGCCACTCTAGCAACCCACGATAATGCAAAGGTTGGGCGTATGCACGTTATCCGTACATTGATCGCCATTAGTACTCTGTCACAGCGGGTATGATCCAGGAAGGCCAGGGTGACCTCTGCTGTATAGATGTAACCGCTGAGTTCCGGTTGGTCATCGCCCACTTGTTTGCTGCGGAACCAACCAACGCTCTATTGTTGCGCATTCTTGTGTAACAGAAGAACAGAAAATTCCATATCTGACGTTGCCGACAGAGAGCCAGGCTTGTGGTGGTGAAGAGGCAACACTGCATTAGCACCAAGGGACTCACTACGTAGGCGCGGTCCGATGAGCCTGGGACAGATCTATTTCCAGGGTCAAACGTCCAGTCACTAAAGACAACCCTGTAAAAACGTTCGAAAAGCTGCCAGACTTAGCAACGTCTCAATTCCTGCAAGCTCTAAGCCTCCAGAAAGACAGTGGCACGTGGCACAACTGGACGGACCTACGATGGCAGGTCTCCCTACCAAAAAGGGCAGGGTACTGCAGGACATGTTCACCGAAGCTCCTTCTGAGTGGCTGAAGTGTCAACTCGGTGAAAGCACAGGCATGAGTAGCTCGGTACGCGGTGATTAGGTTCCTGGTACATGTTTGTGCGAGGACGCCGAAGAAGGCGCGAAGGGGGCGCGAAGACATGCGTCAAGGTAAGCTCACCAAACACGGGATGCTGATTTGGGTAACACGATGAAAGACGATTCATGCCCAATGTATGGACTGTATCGGATGGATTGGCGTTGGACAGGCCGAACAAAGGGATATGAATCGATCTAATCAGACAGTGGCCGGAGATACGGAAGACGCTATCCGGCTTTCGTTCCGTTTATAGGGACCGGTAAAGAGAGGAAAAGAGAGGAAAAGAGAGAATGAGAGCAATCTACCGGCGAGTCACTCGCATCGATGCCGGCCTACTCAATCTTGCCTCGTGCGTGCAAGCTATCGAATGCTGTGCTAATGAGGGTTTAGATGGTCGGGGAGGACGACAGTCGATGCCGCCATGCGCGGCGTATAACATGTCGATGCCTACCTTACTTTACATGCGCCAATCACTTGAAGGGAAAGTATCCATATAAGGTGAGGTTGGTACTTATGGATGTGTATGGGTAGGTAAGTAATACGGATAAATAGGTACGAATAAATATGTAGGTATTCTGTAAGGTAAGTCAGGTAGGTAGTCAGTCGTGTGGTGTGACGCACGTTTGCAAACGGGGTGACGGGCTATCCCCACAATCGCCCGCACGGTGTGTCGCACAAAGACCGACACTGTACCTCGGTTGCGATTTCATCACCGAGATACCATTGTTGTGTGAGGGACTCGCTGCTTCAGCTCCCTCAGTTCGACATAACATTGGAACCCGTACGACATGAGCAGATGAAATAGAATGAGGTAGCTGGAAAACACGAGGTGGTAGCTGCTTGCATACCCTTGTAGCCATGCTGTGGCTACCTACCTTACCTTACGCACCGAGTCCTTGAGCGATCGTGTCTGTTGGTCGCCGTCTCTAAATCTGGTAGAGGCTGTCTGTCCCGGTCATCCAATGCTTGAGAGCCACAGGGACATCGGATGGAAAGAGCCTGGAAACAACCTAATACCTGCCAAAGGTAATAGTCCGAGGTACCTTTAATGGAAAAGGACCCGGCTACCTCAAGGTACCTAGGTAGGGACCGTCCAAATCACCGGCTTTTACACTGTCCACCACCCTCCCGCCAGCTTCTTTTGACGACCTTACCCCATTCATCCCTGGCCCGCCGCACCGGCCCTAGCTAAGGTAAGTACTTTACACCACCTTACACCAGTGACCACGGAGGGTCCAACGCTACGCTGCCTTAATTACCTCCCTCACGCTCCGCTCCGCTTTACTCATTCTCCATTTAGCCCATAGGTCTGCGGAGGAGGCAACGACAACCAATTTGTTTTCTCCCCTCTCCCATCTCCCCTCGGGGTTCACAACATCCCTCACACGCACCACTTGCTCCACTGCAACATCCCGGGCACTAGCCACGAACCACGCACGCGGCCACACAGAGAAGCAAGCTACCTTACATACAGCACACGCATACGAACGACTATTGCAAACCCGCGCATCGCATAGCATCGCATCGCATATCGCGCATATCGCCGACCAGTGACCGAACCATACACCCAGCATCACAAGGAGACAACATGGCTGGCAAGAAGGGAGCAGGCGAGAATAGCAAAAAGGCTGCCGGGAACGCCCGTAAGGCCGATGCTGCTGCACAGAAGGCCGCTGCCGAGGACGCGAAGAGGGCTGCCGCTGAAGACGCCGACTGGGGCAAGGGCGCCAAGGGAGCTGGAAAGAAGTGAGTAAGAGTCACGAACAACGTGACGGCAACCTCCCCTCGGCCGCCACGATGTGGTGTCCCACATGTGTCACCACGGGCTTCCATGCATCACGTTTCCTCATCTCTCGAGATCTCCAGTACCCCACAGAGAGGAAAACCAACCCAGTGCCATGGCTGACCACATCATCCATCGTTTAGGGAAGCTGAAGCCGCCAAGAAGGCAGAAGCAGCCAGAAAGAAGGCCGAGAAGGATGCGCTTCTGAAAGAGGAGGAGGCCAACACCCCCGGACGGACTGGACCCAAGAACAACAAGACGGCCGTTAAGAAGACACGTGGGCTCGATCTGTCACAGTTGGACGGCGATCAGAGCGGAGGCTCGCTTGCCGCGCTCAACGCCACCGGTATCGACAACGCCCTCGACGCCCTCTCCCTCACAGGCTCCGACAACAACGCAAAGATTGACCGCCACCCCGAGCGACGTTTCAAGGCGGCGTACGCGGCATTCGAGGAGCGCCGGCTCAAGGAGATGGAGGACGACGGCTCGGGCCAGGGCCTGCGCCAGCAGCAGAAGAAGGACAAGATTAGAAAGGAGTTTGAGAAGAGCCCAGAGAACCCCTTCAACCAGGTGAATGCGAGGTTCGACAGTACCAAGGAGGAGTTGGCCGAGATCAAGGCGAAGGAGAAGGGCAAGATCGAGGCCCGCCTCGGGAAATAGTGGCCCAGTAAGAAGCCTCTCGGGCATGTCATTATTCATCCATTCGGAGGCATCACTGCTTTGGAGGGCTACATGTAAACGTGGCACAGAGATGCCAGGGCTGTAAGAGTGACGAGCATCAGTCACCTGCATATTGGGATATCAACTCTCGGATGTGAATAGATCATGAGACCAAAATTTTACCCCTCCATTTCTGATTGATTCGATGCCATCGTGGAGTTTCCTTTTGCCCATGCGTCATTGTTGTGTGCATGGCGGAATCACGTTGCGATTCGCGAACCCTCGTATACACAGAAACTTGAGAACTCTGTATTTTGCGCCTCCTCCACTGAAATTTCTCTCCGCCCGAGCCGCCAGCCTTGACAAGAGTGACGCCGACGCGACGGCCGAGATGACCGAGATCGCTACACCTGCCGTGAACACTTTTTGGCGGGGTAGCTTGTGACGTACAGTGGAGGTGGGGTAAAAACGGGCAGCCCTCGCTGTCACCGATAAGATAAGGCTTCTCTTATCACGATAAAGAATTGGGCCGGCAGAATATCTTACCGCTTTTCCTGACCGCCCTTGCTTCACGCATGAATGAGACGTTGTTCAATGTCTCAAGACGGGCTTCCTCTCATTGCGGCACATTTCATCCTCATCAAGTCCTTATTTTTGATGCTTTGTTTATAAGAAAAAATGGCGAGTCTACGGATGGGCAGTATGCCGTCGTTGCGGCGACAGCACCTCCTGGCCGAATTGTGAGTTTCCCCCAAACCCAGACCCCATCGAACGTCACCCCTTGAGGTCTGATTTAAGCGTGTAAGTTGCTAATCCCTGTACGCCAGCGCCGGTCTGAAGCAGGCTTGCCCGGAGGGGGTCTTTGTGAGCTTGACGCCAGGAGACCCGATGCTATGGTCCGGCGTCATGTTTGTGAGGCACGGTATGGAAGCCCCCGGACTCTCTTCACGATGAGAGAGGAAGACCCAGAGTGAAGAGAGGAACGGAGAGAAGACTGAGACTCGTTCGCAGGACCCTACGCTACGGCTATCCTGAGATTTCAGATATCGTTCCCAGACACATATCCTCGACTACCGCCACTCGTCACTTTTTCAACAGACATTTTCCATCCCCTAATCACACCATTAACAACGTACATGTACACCACCGACATTCAGGACAACGGCACGGTAAGCGCCACCGACGCAGAGCGCCTACCGCCCGGAGGCTTCAGTCTACGACACGGATTCCCCGCTTGGTTCGGGCGCGGCAGCAAAAGCAACGCGGGGAGCCGACAGGTCAGCGGCCAGCAGCAACAACAACCGCCCGCGACGCCCGCCAGAGGCGGTGGGGGGCCATCCAGCACTACGTCGACGCCGAGCTCAAAGGCGACGCCTCTCGGAGAACGGCCTGGCTACCTCGACACCTCGAGGCGAGAGGTCTCCACGTACGAGGTCTTGCGATATATCCGGAGCACGTTCGACGACGAAAAGGTGCTGGACTCGGTGCCACTCGAAGCTGCGGGAAACCCTGGCGCGTGGCACGCGTGGCGGACACGTCAGCGACAGATGGGCAAGAGTTTCCCTGGCGATCCGGCGCATCAGGAGAAGAGTGAAAAGGAGCAGGAGAGCGACAAAGTGGCAGAGGCTGCTGATGGTGTTGCTCAGGAGAAGAAGGAAGGTGAAGCGGAAGGGGAAGAAAAGGTGGAGGAGGCGCCGCCTCCGCTGCCTGAGAGGAAGCCTTCCACCAGCGGGAGTGTTCACTCCATTGTTAGGAAACCTATCGGCAGTGCGCCTTCCGTCTCCAGAAAGCCTGGGGAATGGAACTGGGAAGGCGTTTGGGAGGATAGAGTACAGAAGGGCATCGCGACGTCCCTATCTGAGGCGGTCTTGTACGGGGCGACGTCGGGTGGGGATGACCTGGTGAGTAACCTTTCTTCGCTTCAAATGCGTGAACCATGAGACTAGGGCGGCTTCTGACCATGAACGATAACAGATCAACTTCCTTGCAATGGAGGAAGGCGACGTGGACGCTGTGAGAGAAAATCTGCAGCGTACACTGGGAAGCAGCCCGGCGACACCTGAAGAACGTAGAAGCATGCAGGGCGTGCCTGCGTCGGAATGACGGATTTGACTTTGCTTGAAAGCGACTACCTCTAAAACCTCTTGACATTACCTAGCTCACCTAGCATGCACGTTCACCTTCCCCTGTAGCGGATGGGATGTAGACCTGCCTGCGTAGGTACATTCTTCTCTTCCACATAGCCTTACTACATACAACTTTTCAATGGCCCCTGCATAATAGATCATCATTCCAAGACGTCAGATCATCACGTACATTAACTTACCGTCTTGTTCCTTCGACTATGGGCCTCTCAACTCCCGTAGCCGCAGTTCTCATCGTTCTAGTCACCGTCGTACCCATGCTACTCATCGCAGGCTTCACCGCCCGCTTCATCTCACGCAACTTCAGGGACGCAGCCGGTGCCATCGAACCCAAGCCGGCGAGACGCTGGTTCGGCCTCCGACGCGTCAAATCGAACGACAGCGCCACCACCAGCCTCGCAACCAACACGCTACACTACGACGACTCGTGGCCGGATCTCGAAAGTCTCAGGACGTATCAGGACACCCCGACACCTTCGATCCAGCGCGGCATCCACGAGGTAGCCTCGGTGCCCCAACGGGCCACTACTACCACGGTCCAGATCCAGCCGCCGCCCGAGACATGGCATCCCTCGAGGGCCAGTCGTTTGAGCTGGAGTTTCTCGCCGACAAGGCGGAGGACGGATCAGAGAGGGGCGGTCCCGAAGTCCCGCAGCCGCTCAAGGTTCTCAAGAGACTCGGGCGTGGTTCTGGAGGGGAGTTCCGAGGAGATGCAAGCGGCTCGCGATCAGTTGCCGAGACTGACGAGGGTTTAGACGGTGTACCGGGACCATCTGGCGAGTCTCTCTTTGTGAGGAAGAAGCGAGGGAACCACGGGACCGGGAAGATGCCTCGTTCGAAGAATCGTGGCTAGGAACAGGCTTCACCCGGAGGACGGTCACAAGCGCATCGTGAGTCTGGACTTGAGACTGAATAACACTTGCTGATCTCGACCAGGACCACCAGCTTGGGATAAGTTCGTTTCACATGCTATTTCTGGGCCATTCGATGACGATGATGGCTTTGAGGCAGTATCCCAAGCACCACAACGCGGTGCTTCTTATTTCGTGCGGTCTTCTAGTAACTCGTCTCTGGCTGCTCAAGCTAGCACTTCATATCACTCAGCTACTTCAGGAGAGATAAACACGTCTCACAGCTCCCGTGTGCTCGTGCCGAAGATTTTCATCACCCCAGAAATGAGGGCTCTCGATGGCAGCACGGCAAGCTTCTGGGTTGCCGTCGAGGTTTCAGGCCAATTATGTCAACCTCTCAACGGCCTACTCTGCGACGATATTTCTATTGAGAATGAGTCTGCCTTGCTGAGCGGAGTCAATAAGCAATCTTCTACAGGTATGTAGACGTAAATGTCGATGTTGATCTCCATGCTAACATTGACTTAGATCCTTTCAGGCATGGGTGTATTCACAGCATGGATATCCAAATTGTTTCGCTTGGAACCAGTTGTATTCTTGAGACAATTCGGGATGATCCTATTCAGACGTGAGTACTTTCACCTGGTGTTTCTGATAATTGTCTGATTGTGGCACAGAACACTAGGCAATGGCGATAATGCATTGCTGCTTGCGCAAGTCCTAGTCAAATCGCCTCGCTCCACTGCCGTGACTACGCAGCAAGGCCATGTCAAACACAGGTCAGATGAGCTGATTGAAGACTTGGAGTATCAGTTAGGGGATTCAAACCTCGAGTACATACGCGTTTCGGTCAAGTACAATCATTCAGCATTCTTTTGCCAAAGTCGAAGTGACTTCATCGACGACATAGCAGAAGGCGGCACAAAACTAGAAACATTTGCTACGGCCATCGTCAAGCAACACAATCACCGATCACCATGGTCTCCAAGTTCAGCCCCAACATATAATCCCATTCCGAGCATCATCCGTGGACATTGGGAGTCAACGAAAGCTCGTAATGCGATTAACCGCATATCACCACAAAGGCCCCTCAGGGCGAGGTCCAGGATGGACTTGTCTTTGGGAGACGAACCAATGGATATGCTGAGCCCTCCGGTTGTTCCTAGGCGAGAGGCAAGCCTCGGTAGAGACGTGACAGTCAGAAAACCAGACGCAATGTACGATGGGTGGTCTCCCGGGCGTCGGAGGACGTCGGCAGTGGACTTGGACTGGGGTAGGCCCCGCGCGGAACAAGGGAAGCGGTGGCCATCAACTGCAACGTGCCCCGGCGAGGCGGCAACCGGAGCCGGATTCAAAAATAGGTTTGCGAATCATTTGGCCGCACTGAGAAGCCCGCGCTCGATAGGCCCGGGCGTTTTGAGAGGCTTGGCATCTTCAGTCGCCGGCACCCGAGATGAAGGTCATGAAGCAGAGAACAGAGAGGCGCATGGAGGAGAGTCCCCTCGCAGCCAGAGAAGAAAGTCATCCAGCCGTTGGAGTTGGACGAGCTGGTGGTCTTGAGAGGGCTCGAAGCTTGTGCTATTTTAGTCTTGGTTTATAGGAGTAGGAGGCATTCACGTACACGCGCGTCTCTGAGAGTATTCGAATTAGAAGCACCCGAGTTACGAATCGTATGGTGTTCGTTCACCCTTTTCACTATGATTTTGTCTGCTGAGCCTGAATGATTGATGCTTTTCTTTGTTTTTTGGTTCACTGTTTAATAGTTTTACGTTTTACTTTTTTTTACTCGATTTCATGCAGCCGTCCTTTACTGCAACTCATCTCTCCAAGGAATGGATGTTTGCGCGCCCTTACGCTCGACCGTCTTGGCCGCCGCATTGTTGGCGCTCTTGATGGCGGAGGAGATGTCAAAAGCCACGCCCTTGGCCTGGGCGGTCACGGCGGCAACGCAGTAGGAGCCGACAAAGGTGTCGCCGGCGGCGGTGGTGTCGACGACCTTGACCTTTTGGGCGGCGATGAGCTCGGCGGCGCCCTCCTTGTTGGCGTAGTAGACGCCGCGGCCACCGAGGGTAATGATGACGTTGCTGACCTTCTTGGCCATGAACCACTCGCCGACGCGCTTGAGGCCCTCGGGGGTGTCGAGTTCGGACTCGTCGCAGCCGGACAAGATGGCGGCTTCGGTCTCGTTGACGACGAGGTGGGCGAGTCCGTCGTAGGCCTCGTCAGGGAGGCGCTGTGCCGGGGCGGGGTTGAGGAGGACGGGGACGGAGGCGGCCTTTGCGGAGCGGAGGGCGGCGAGGACGGTCTCGAGAGGTACCTCGAGCTGCATCACCAGCAGGTCGGGCTTGGGGTCGAGGGTCTCGGGGAGGGTGCCGAACTTTTCGGGGGTGACGGCATGGTTGGCCTCGGGAGCGAGGATGATGCGGTTCTGTCCGGTGGGTTCATCGACGACGATGATAGCCATGCCAGTCTTGAGGTCGCTACCCACGGCGATGCGGTCGGTGCGAACGCCGTGCTCGCCGAGGTTCTTGAGGAGGAGGTCGCCGTAGGAGTCGCTGCCGACGGCGCCGATCATGGAGACGGAGGCGGTTTCGGCGGCGGCATCGTTGGGGGCTTCGCGGGAGCGGGAGAGCTTGGCGCAGGCGACGGCCTGGTTTGCGCCCTTTCCTCCAGGTGAAATGACAACAGAGTTCGAGGTGAGGGTCTCGCCCGGCAGGGGGTGGTGGGGGACGTAGGAGGTCAAGTCGATGTTGAGGGAGCCGAGAACGGTGATCTGGGGGGTCTTGGTGGCAGCCATTTCGGGCAATTTGATCTTCTTTCTCGGTGTTCGGTTTCTCGTGTTTTCCCTCCTCGGCGATGAAGATGATTAAGATGTCGTCAACGTCAAAGACAACCTGCAAAGGCAACCTGGGATATTTTATGATTCGGATCGTGCGGTCGCAATCGGGTATCTTGATGAGACAGAGGCTTCTCTTTCCGAGCGAAAGAATGCAGCTCGGGTACTGAGGTGAGATAACGGTAGATCAGGTGGTGAGGGGCAGAGAAATGGATGTGAGGCATTGAATTTTCCCAGCCGACGAATGGTGACAGGACCCCGCCAAAGCCAACGCCAACGGAGGTGGGATGATGATGCACTTGGCGGGGCATTGGCTGCCAGGTTCGCGGTTGGAATTCTGTAGCGTAAGGGTGGGAGGGGCAGCCGAGTGATGTTGCAGGGGGCCCGGGTGGGAATCCTCTCCGTGGGCCTGCTCGAGGGATTGGCCCTACGGACCGGGAGGGACCGGAAAGAGATCCAGTCTTTGCAGTCTTTGCAGATGGTGCATCTTTGGGTTGTTGGCGTTACTGGAGAATTTCCACAGAAAAAGCTGTCAAAGCAGGGAAAACAGACAAAAGACAGGATCCACTGTCGGCTAGTTTTTCTCGCTACTGGCTCTGGTCAGCATGATCAGGTCGTCTGAGGCCCAGTGCTGTGCAGTGATTTGATATGGCAACGCGATACGGTTTCTGACAAGATGTCCATCCGCAGGAATAAAGGGAGATTCAACCCGACACCTTACCTTAGTCAGTTAGAGAGACAGATGCCATGCCTAACATGTCCCCCTCCCCCAATTTTTCCATCCCTAGTCCTTGCCGAAACAAGGCGAAAAGACTGACAGCTGATGACCTTGGGAGCTCGCAGGTGGGAGGCTGGCACACTGGTTCAGGCACACAGCACACACACAAATAAAGAGCCGAGCCGAAGAACGGAGCCACCTTTTAAGGAGTGGAAGGTTAGTGGAAGCGTATCCGACCCCCTTACTCCGTACCCGTACCGTTCATGCTCAATCCGATCGGGTGTTGCAATGGAACCTGTCAGGTTGTCTTGCTGTCCATTCCTGGACCTTCCAGAAGTTCCAGAAGTTCCATTCCATCCACCAGCCACCGACCATCCGCCGAGACGGGCGGGATCTTCAGCTGCTGGGGAGCCATCCATGGATGCCTTACTCCGTAGACGGGAGAGAGAGAAGGGTCTGGACCTTTGATGTCCCCGTCCGTACTCCGTACCTTACCCAGCAAACAAATCTCGGCCTCCCCTCCGCTGCCTAGATGAAAGAGTGCTAGAGCAGCAGCCATCTTTTCGGCGCCATGGGCGGAATGGCTGCGCTGTTCTTGCCGTGCAGCACTCGGCATCCGCTGACACCGCCGGTTTGGGCGCCGGCTTGAACCGACCGTTTGTTTCGTTCTGTTCGACACGTGGAAGTGAACGACATTACGCCGGATTAGACTTTGAGGGTGCATGCGGCATACCGTTAGACTCGATCCCCTATTGTCTCCCACGCCCGCCACGCCATGCTGCATTTGGCGCGCCGTCATGCCTAGGTCCAGGCCGGGGTTGTGTTGGTGTGGAATGCGAGTGCGGCGTGCGTATGTGTGTGTGTCTGAGTCTGTGTGTCTATGTGTGTGTGTGTGGAGGAAAAAGTGTAGATGTTGTTGGGTCAAGATGGGATGAATGACTTCTTGACTTTGACATTTGAGAGAGTGTGTGTGAAGGTAGAGAGACGGAAAGGGAAAGAGCAAGAGAGACCGAGAGCAAACACCAACATCCTGAACAACTCAAGAAACTGCCCGGGAAAAGCAAAGCCAAGAGAAGGCAAGAAGAGAGCGAGTGACTTGCAAAGTGCCTTCCCTTTCTATGTCACAGAAGTATCTTCCTTCCCTTACCTTCCACTACCTCACTACCCACCTGCCTCTGCCTGTCTCCGAACTTTAGGCTCCTGCTCTCTCTCCCATTCCTGCCTCCAGTCATCAGTGGAGAGGTGCTTGCCCTGTCTCTCATCCTGGAAGGCTTTCGCCTTCCATTGCTCGACACACGACACACGACACTGCACTCTCATGCGCTCCTGGACCAAGTAGGCAAGGGCCGTGTCCTAGACCCAGATGGCCGCCTTCTTCCCGTGTCTTTCACGAATAAGCGGCTTCCTATTCACCGGTTGCCCAAGCTCCATGCCCTTAGCGTCGACTTCATTCACTTTTGACGGCTCTCCTTTGCTGGATGTCTGTTTCCGACTTCAAAACAGCTCTTCGCCTTATTCTCGAGCCTCTGGGCTCGTTGCAAGTTTGTCCGGAATCACATCACCGGACTCCTCTTGCTTCTCTTGCTGGTGGACTCGGACCCTTGACCCCACCAACTTCGACTTGTCCAACTTCACAATCCCAATGGACTCGAATCAAAGCACCTCAGCATGGACTACAACAGCCGCTTGTGTAGCTATTGTAGTCCTCCTCATCTTGATAAGACCGCGGTCATCATGGGGCCATCCGCCATTACCTCCGGGTCCGCCGGGCGAGTTTCTCCTCGGCCACCTCCGTGTTATACCCAAAGAGAACACTGCCCAAACGTACGCAGAGTGGGCAAGAAAGTATGGTGAGTCTGCTTTCTCCCTCTATACACCTCTTTGAGAGTTCTTCGCGACTAACGTAATAAAAGACTCGGATGTCATTCACGTCAAATCTCTCGGCCAATCCATCGTGGTGCTTAACAGTGTCGAGGCTGCCAAGGATCTTCTCGATCGTAGGGGGGCCAACTACTGTGACAGACCCAGATTCACTCTGTTTGAGGTGTAAGTCGCCCCGACTTCGACCCTGAGCTATCTTGTCGGCATACTGATGCAGGCTGTCCCCTCCTTAGCATGGGCTGGGGCAAGACGCTGACCTTCCTGCCCTTCGGACCCCGCTGGCAGATGCACCGAAAGCTGCTGCAGACCACTTTCAGTAACACCAATGTCCGGCAGTGGTACCCTCTGCAGGTCGCCGAGGCCCGCAAATCCGTTCATGGCATCGTCAGCAACCCTGACAGGTGGCAAATGTCCATGAAAAGGTGAATCGCTTCTTGGCTTTGGCTGACTGTTGATACGTAGCTGACCCTTCCAGAT